AAGAATTTTTTTTTCCTATTTCTAGTAAGTAAAATTTTAACGGCACTCTCTACGTGTTACCTACTTGTGCCGGCCCTGTAAGCTGCAGTATATTACAATTACTTGGTTTTATTATGTGCCACTTTTTTGGATCCAAATTATAAAAGTTTTCAATTCTTTGAAAAGTACAAGGGAAAAATTTTTTTTAAATGTGTTAGAGAATTTTTGTCGAAATTTCATTAAACAAAAAAAGTTTGTGATATAATTCTATTTAAAAAGGTGACAAACAAATTAAAAAAATTTAAGTTATCATTTGATGATGAAGATGATATTTCCGGAAACGACAGTGACAAAATAATAAGTTTAGATTTAAAAAGAGAAATTAGTGGTTATATAAAATTGTCAGTAAATGAGCAAAATGTTTTTACACTTTTGGTATTAAAATTAACATGTATATCCAATAATGTATTGTATTTCAACAATGATTTTATGTACGCCTGCTACCAGTGCACTAAGTGAACACCTTTTCTCTGAGGCATTAAACACTTATGCATGCAAAGCGAAACGTGTGCAAACTTATACTTATGTATGCAAAGCAAAACGGAATAACAACTGTTTTCAAATATTGATGTTTTTTAAATTCATTAAATATAATAGTGAAGTTTTTTCTTGTAATAAATATTTTTTAATATATTTATTGTTCTAAAAGAAATATTATTAAATTTAGTATTCGAACTCTTTTGAGTAAAACTGATTTTTTTTTTTTTTGATACAAAAAATTAATATAGTTTTTTGAATTTAAAATGTGTTAAAAAAAAAAGATAAAGAAAAAATTGAAAATTAAAAAAATTAATGTGTGATTTTAATGTTCTTGAGCGTGCGGTTTTATTATAATGTTGCCTAAAACAGCAAACTTTTTTACCTTTATTATTTTAATAGTTTGGTTGTTTGTTTTTTATATTTATTTATATATTCTTTAGTATTTTTTTAAACATCTATCTAATGAAAAAATATAAAAATAAATGTAATAAAAAAGTTATTGAATTTTAATTTATAATTGTTTCGACCCGGTTTTACACGTATTTTAAAGTGCTTAAAAACTACGTATTGCATTTTTCAAGTAATTAAAATGTCATAAACAATTATACTCTGAAAGCAAAAAAAATAAATTCATAATAACTTATTTAACGATTTTCTTTTGGGTTCATGTCAATACTTTCGCCTGCCTTACTATAGTGTTTGCGGGTTGTAATAGCTGTTAGGAGAGGTTGATATTTGAAGAGGTGGGGAGGGGGAGTCATAGATTTGTTGTGAAAATTAGAGATTGAATCTATTCCTATAATACAGCAGGGGACAGGGCTGTACTGAACAACGAAGACATATGGGGGGGGGGGTGCAAATGAAATAAGCTTTTTTACCATAAAAATCTCACTAAAGTAGGGCTTTTTTTTTTATTTAAAAGCCAAGTTGCAGTTTTAACCGATTAAGTCTCAAATTTTCTAAAATACCAACAAAACCGACAGAATGTTGTAACCCCAGTAAGGTGCCCATACTCACGTCGGTACGGCCTTGGCAGGGGAAATTATTTTTGATTTGCGATTGTTATTGCACACTTCCTATAAGAAGCAGCACATAAAAAATATAAGTTAAACGTTCAATAAGCGTACCAAATTTGATGTAATTGACTAAAGGGCATTATTTGTATATTCCATGCTGATTGGGTGTTTATAAACAGTTGCAACAACTTCATAGGCAGTTGTCTCAGAGCTGGGAAAAAAATTAAAATAATCAAATTTTGTTTAAAACATTTCTTTTAAATAACAGTTTAGTTCGACTGGGCTCTAGGATTCACAACTAGTAAAGTGTTTAATTTCGATAAAATAATATTTATCGCCTTAATAATGCTTCCTCGTGTGTAAAATTTTTATGCGAAAGATTATTTCTTTTTTCAAGCACTAAATCTTGCTTTAGTTGACTAATTTTAGTTACACTAAATATTTAGTCGACTAATTTGAGTTAACTAAAAAGTTAGTCGACTAATTTTAGTTAGACTAAAAAGTTAGTCGCTTAATTTTAGTTAGCTAAAAAGTTAGTCGGGTAATTTTAGTTAACTAGAAAGTTAGTTGCGTAATTTTAGTTAACTAAAAAGTTAGTCGGGTAATTTTAGTTAGCTAAAAAGTTAGTCGCGTAATTTTAGTTAACTAATAAGTTAGTCGACTAATTTTAGTTAACTAAAAAGTTAGTTAACTATTTTTAGTTAGACTAAAAATTTAGTTAAGTATCTTTAGTTAGACTAAAACTAACCTTAACTCCCACCCCTACTAATAACTAACATTTATGTTACCTATGTTATTAGTTTGCAAAAGTCTCCGTGCGCAGATTTTCATTTAATTAAAAATGGAACTTTGATAACATCCAAGTAATTCAATGTTGAATTTTTTAAAAAAATCTCAAAATAATTTTTATAAATACTAAAAAAATTTAAACTAAATACTTAATATTATAAAATGCAACTATAATAATTACTTATGTTACATAAAAAAAGTTTTAGGTTGTACAAACAACATAAAATAAAAATATGCAAACGCACAATTGATAATTTTAAAAATAATTTATTTATTGCAATGCCTTCGCAAATAGCAGTAAATGCTAAAAAAAAAAAATGAAAACATTGAATGGGAAAAAAATGTACAGTTGGCAGAGAAAATGATTTTAGTTACATAATACATTTTCAAATAAAAATATAAACTTCAATCTATAAACTCAACAACATTAAAGAAATAAAAAGATTGCACATTTTATATTTCTGCTCATTTTATGTAATACTACTATAAAAATTGCAAATTTTACATAAAACAAGATTTTTATTAAATATATATATTTTTTAAGAATCCTATTATAAAAAAAAAAAAGGCCAACACCCAATTAGTAGTTTTAAATTTATCTATAAATCATTCATTTATTTATTGCAATTAACGGCAAAAGCTTGAAAGAAAATAGATAAAAAGATTTAAAGAGAAAGTGACTTGGTACAGTTAAAAAAACGTTCTTAGTTAAATATAGTAATTATTATTTGCTATTGTATTATTATTATTAAAATAGTATATTAAATATTATTATTAAAATATTGATAAAACAAGAACTTTAAATATTTATGAAAAAAAAATTTTTGTCATCAGTAAAATGAAAGTAATCTAAATAAGTGAATAGAAAAAATGAATAGAAATAATTTACATCGTCAGATATAGTTTACATGACTGGCAAGAATTCATTTTGGGTCAAAATAGCAATTTTAGTCATTTCAGGCATTTGTTGATTGTTGATTGGTCGTTATTTTCCACACTGAAGATGATAAAGTGAAGAGGTGCTTAGTGGAAGCACATAAAGAAATGGTCAGAGAAACCTAATTTCTCGACAAATTGGTGAATTGATGCATAAGTATACGCCCAAACCAAGCACGTGTGACTGTTGGAGTCTTTTCAAATCATAGGATATTAGCTATCAACATTAAAATCTGAAGTAGGAACAGCCAAATTCAAATTAGTCTTACAAAAAGTAAGCAAGTCTGTTAAAATTGCAAGAGGTAAACTTCAAAGGACGAAAAGTTAATTGAAAAGTTGCATTTACACTACCAAGGAGGCACCAGCAAAAATCTGAGTCAAGTTTACATGTTTGTCAATTTAATAGATGAAGGAGATGTAAATAAGATGACGTAAATGTAAACACAGGTTAACATTTGCGTCAGTTTAATAGATTAAGAAAGGGTAATGAAGAAGCTGGTCAATAGAATTATTCTGTTTACCTAAAAGGTTTTTTGCAAAAAATTTTCTACAAGACAGTAGCTGGTTGCAGTTAACCTCTGCCTAAGATAGAGTAATTTTTGTTGAGACACCACCTCTAACCATTACTCAACTCAAAATCAGGGAAATTTCAATTCAGAATTTAATTCTTTTATGTCGACAAAGGCGAATTTTAAAAGGCAGCAGGACATGGGGAAGGTAGTAGTGGGTTACATGATACCAGTAGCCAGGTGATGGTATTATTTGTATCTTTGTATTCTGTCTGAACATCTGGTTTAGAAGCAGATGTTCAGACAGAATGCAAACATACAAATAACAACTTTAAACACAAATAACAATAAACAATGCCATGAATGAGTGAACATCATGCCAGATTATAGGAAAACTTACACAGTAACTAAGATAACTTCAACCATATAACAGACAAATAGATACCACTAAAGACATAAAAAATATTAGATAGTAATGATTACAGAAAGTGCACTTCTTCTAGCCTTTGCTTAGAATGCGAATCCGCAAAGGTAGCAACATGGAACAGGTTGCATTGGATTACATATTACAGTTGCACCCTGCTATTGTAATATGTAATCCAATGCAACCTGTCATGATGACCATTTGCCTGACCTGAGTCATTTTTTTATCTAAAATTTTGTAATGTTTTAAGTTGTTTTTATTGGATTCCTTACTCAAAAATATGTAACATGTTTTCAGCTTTTCATTACATAGAAAAAAGTTGCTATTTTTTAGAATAGGAGATTTTTGTTAGGCCAGACTTTATAAAGTTAAAATTACACGGATTTATATTTGTAGAAGATTATACTAAACATTGAAAGCAACTCTGTAGTTTAATTAACTATTATGTGTGATGTGCATCTAAAATGCAGCAGCTTTTTTTTAACAAGGTTTGTGTTTCAGAGCTTCAAGAGTTAAGGGGAGGATTATAACACACATAAAAAAAGTTCTCGACTCTAGAGGCCCCCTTAGCCTTAGGGAGGTGAATAACAAAAAGTATATATATTTTATATTATAATAAAATATGAAATTAAATATTATATATTTTATATATATATATATATATTTATATATATATATATATATATATATATATATATATATATATATATATATATATATATATATATATATATATATATATATATATATATATATATATATATATATATATATATATATATATTAATGTATATTTTCTTTTTTCAGATGTTAATTTGCCATATTTAACTACACACAAGTATGCAACAGGTATGATAAAAATTATTTTTACTGGTATGCTATAAATTGTTTTTAATTACTGGTATGTTATTATTTTGTTATTTTAACTATTGCTATGTTAGTAAAATAATGACACTATGATATTTAGAATAGTTTATTTATTTATAAACATTTTTTTTAAGCATTTGGGATGATTTTTATATTGATTATTTTTTATTGATGCCTCCCTGTTTATGAGTAACTTTAATATTGCTTGAAAGTAACTTTTTCACTGACTACCTGACAAAAAATTTGATTCCCACATAAAGCATTATAAAAAAAGCACATACAGCTATGATAATTACATTACTTGAGTGGTATAAACACCACTCACTGTTCACATCAACATCATCTCACTGAGTTACACTCTATAGTTTAATGCCACATGTGTCATATGACATGTATTGTGCAATGCCACATGTGTCATGTGTTGTACTTTAAATTATTTTTTTGTCAGAATTAAAAAAAAAACTGAGATTATGAAAACATGTTCATAAAGTGTATTACACCTCTAATTAATGTTAGTTATTTTTCTTTTTTTTTTTTCAATATTTTGCTATTTTAATTTTTTTATCATTGGTTGCTATGGATTTTAACTAATAAAACATTCAATTGTTCTTCTTTAAAACTTGTAATTTATCAAATGAACACTTTAACTGTCATTTTATTAATTTTTAAAAATTGGAATGTTTTATAAATTTTTCTAAAAAAAGAAGAGAAAGGAGTTGCATTTATAGTAAAAATCATTTGAATTAAACGTGCTCTTCATAGGGATAATGTGTTGGCCTATACCAATGAAGCAATAAGAAAAGCTGTTTTACGCTATATAAATGGAACAAGTTATATTAAAAAGATGGACTTTCTTAACATTTGCTAAGTACAGTCCACAGAATGTGATACAATTTGCAAGCGAAGGCCTAAACAAAAACAAACTTTCTAGATTAACAAAAGAGTATATTTAAACATTTTTGAGATGAGGTTTATAAATGACTAGTTTTGCGGCCTATTTATTTTTAGCTGAAACTCAAGAAACTCATCACCAGTTTCTGTTTGAAGATACTTTGTCAAAGAAAAAATATCGGACACGTCTATTTTTCTTTCAAGCATGAAAAAACAAAAACCTTTTCTTTCAATAAAATTAAAAAATATAAAAAACTGTAAAAGAAAAAGGACTAGTTTTTGTTTGCACAGACCACAATGGCACAGAACACTGCTTTGCTGATTTTATTGCTATTCAGTTATTGTAGATTTCACAGTTTGATGTCTGAAACTTAATAACTACTGGTATAGTGTTTTCAATTAGATATTTAAAATATTTATTGAACACTGTAATAAAAATATCTAGTATCTGCTACAGCTGATAGTGCAAGCATGTATGTTATTGTTTACTAAAAATAGGTTGCATAAATTATAGAATCTAGCTATTAATAAAAAAAGCTTTAAAAAAAATAAAAAATTTGTAAAAATTGTATAGTTTTATTTATCTAATTATTGCCTAATAATTTATTATTAAGTTATTAATTTTTATTAATTTTTAGGGAAAGTTTTAGGCAGATGCAATTTAAATCAAATGGCTATTAGAATCCAAGCATGGAAGATATGTGTTGGATTAGCACCATCATCTTTAATTAATGATTATAGCTGGGTTAACATTGATAAATCTTTGAGAGTTAACCAACGAATACCCCTTCCTAACTTTAAAAGTTGCGTGTTAGCGAATCAAGCCATTAACAAAATTGCAATTGAAGTTAATCAATTGAAAGAAACGGATTTGCTTTTAAGTGCAAAAAAATTCAAGAAGCAAACAAAAAAAAGCCTTTGTGCTCTTAATATAGCTCCGAAATGTCACAATATCGGTTGTGCCGAATGGCAATTGTAAAATTTTGTTTCATTTTTTCAAGGCAATATATCAACTTTAAAATTCAGGGAATAAGGAAGACACTTTTCATTAGTTATTATCCCCTTTCACTTTTTAAATTAAATTTACCTTTTTATTGTAAATTTTTATAATACTGAAGGAAATTATTCGTAAATAAAGTGGGTAAAACTACATAAAAAATGAACCATCAATGACTATACGTGGACTGATGTGTCAAAGTTTGAAATCTTTGGTTTCAAGATAAGACTGCTTGTCTAGAAAAAAAATCATTGAATGCATGATAAAATAGTGTGTATTATCGACTGTAAAACATGGGGGATGTAGTATTAAGGTGTGCGGGTGTCTTGGTTTGAATGCCTCAGGTAACCTTTTAAAAATAGAGGGAGTAATGACAAAATTAGTTTACTTGTACACTTAAAAAATTATGCTACACCTTCGGAAAGATAGGTTAATGGGAAACTATTTTTCAGAAGAAAATGACTTGAAGCTTAAATCCAAAGCATATTTAAAAAGAAAATAGTCGAATAAGCTATTTGGCTAAGTTTGAGAATGATCAAATAAGAGATTTAGCCTCGCCAATCAAAAGATCTCTCTCCTATTGAATTTTTATGGGAGGAATTAAAAGTTAGTGTGAAGATCACTTAAACAGTCTTGGGCAGGCAAGACTGTTTAAATGATCTTCAGACAAACATTTATATAAAGATGTAAACAATTTTTGTTTACATCTTTATATAAATGTCTTCATTAAACTTAATCATTTTTTTCCCTGGATTCTAAAATATTTATTACAAATTTATGACACTTTTCATAGCCATATCCAATTTCTGTTGCCTTTGTGACTTTTTATTCCATTATATTCTTATATTCCATTATATTCATTATATTCTTCATTATATTTTATTCCATATACTTTCATATTATAACTATGACTAGGATATTTTGGAATGCTTTCAAAGTATATTTGAAAAGAAAAAAAAAGTTTAAGGTGTTTATGAAACTGAATATTGGAGAAGATAAATAAAAAAGCACATTATTATTATTATTATATATATATATAATTATTGAAACACAAAATACTGATTTACCAGTTTTAGGATTATATATGCAAAACTCATATAGCCATAGTTGACATAGATAAAAAATCTCCTAAAAAGGGGCATGTGGAAGTAGCAATTTTTGCACTTAGTTTTGACCTTTATTTTTTTAAAATTTATTTGCCTGACTTTTGTGGATCTCAATATCTGCTTTGACTTTGAATTGCCATTTACATGTGGATTTTTTAATTTAATATATAACCCTTCATGCAGTCCTCAGACATTAATTTGCTTTCTATCAAATTATAAGCTGAAATTTTTGTGGAAATATTTAAAATAAAACATATATTTAACAGGGTGATTTGTATATTTTTGTTTGTATGATATGTGCATGAATTTCATATTGAGTTTTTTACCTAAATAATAAGATGAGGTGTTTGTATTATAGTAATGCACTTATTTAACAGGAAATGACTCAATATGCTCATATTGAGTCATTTCCTGCTCAAACAGCAGCCCATAGATCACAGAAGTAAGTCTGAGGGATCACGATGCGTTGCATCGTGATCCCTCAGACTTACTTCTGTGATCTATGGGCTGCTGTTTTTTGTTTTTTTTAAGAAAATACATAAATGCCAAACTTGCTTCGAAGGGACTCCAAGCTGCAAAAAGCTTATTATTTTTTAATATTCTTACTATTTTTCTAAAACTGTTTATCTTAATGTGAAAATAAAGATAGATCATTTTTTTAGGTTCTTCAGATCTAGCCCTTTTTTTTCTGTATTTCCTTCCTTTCAATCAATGACTGCAATTACGTGTTTTGGACATTTTGAATTTCATCTGTAAATAAAACAAACATATTCTTAAGGTAGTAATATAATAATTAGGAATCGTCCATTAAGTATGTACGCTCGGATGGGGGAGAGGGGGTCTGCAAATGGCATATATGAGATCAGGGGCAGGTGGTGAATTATAAAGTTAAGGAGACACTAAAATTCAAAAAAATATCATAAAATATTGAGTAGGTAGGTTAAAAACGTAGATACTTTTAGGGAGGTGGAGGGTACTCAAAAAAGTATATATCAAAATGTGGAGGAGGAGGGGAGATCAAAATAAAAGCATATGTATTTTATGGATGACCCCTTATATTACTAATTGGAGATAATAATATAGTACCAATTATAATTATTATATGTAGTAAAACAAATAATGTAAATAAACAAAATAATCAAAATAAAATCTATCCTGCAAAAAGCTCTTGTATGTCTTAGTCCATTTTCATTCTCTTTGTAGTTTTTATGAGCTTCTCCATCAATTTCAGCTTTTTTTATGTGAGTATGTTTATAACTTTCACTACTAGTTGTACCAGAAACTCTTTTTCGAGATTTATAAGCATTTTCTGCTAGTCCTCGATTCTCCATTTTTGTAACTAATAAAGTGATGTCACATCTGACATTTTGTTTTGCGCAAAAGAGGCATAAGTCCAGGACTGCCATTTTCAAACAGACTTTAATTTGGCTTAAAAGTTAACTTGTGGTTTATGACAATATACCTTTTTAGAAGGTTATATCATAAACCACAAAATTATGTAAAACACCAATAAATGAAATGGCTCAAAAAATTGAATTTTGAAAAAGTGTGGCTTGTGCCCTTTTTGAAATGACAGACTCAATTTGACTTCCTCATTATTTCAATGTACCAACTCACAGTTATCTTTGTCTCCAAGATTTAGTGTTGTGGGAAGTTAAAATATATATTTTGTTTGTTATTATTTCTGGACTTGAGTAGATTTTGTTAAAATTTACCCAAGTCCAGATCTTTTAAAAAAGTCATGATGCCCGTTTTTTTTTTTTTTTTTTTTTTTTTTTTTTGAGGAAACTGTTAAATTGCTTATTTAAATAATAATTATTTTGTGTTGAACTCATGACGCATTTTCACAACTTAGTTTTGAATGTTTAGCTGCAGGATGATGCAGTGGTGGTTACAGGTTAAAAATACCAAATGTATAAATGACTCAACTCTTAGATATTTTGAATAATAAAAATATATTATGTAAACTTTTTTTAAAGTTGTTACTATTGATGACTTCTTAAAATGGTTCAATTTTTTGTGCAGGATATGGTGTGGAAATGGGTGGTATTTTTTGTATTATAAAGAACACACATGCAACAGAATCATTTTATTTGACATATTTTGAAGTTGTTCCATATTTTTTACGAGTTTATTTCAGTACATTTAAAGTGAAAATCAACAATATCTTGGTAGTTCCAGGTAAAACTTTTATAGTTTATATTTAATATTTTCTTTACTTATATATGGAGAATATTTTTGGATATTTTAATATAGTAACTTTTTATCATTTGTAAATTTAAAGTGCTTTTTTATTATAATGCCAATGATGGCATTTGTACCGTTATTGGCATTATAATAAAAGTAATTTAAACTAAGTTTATTGTTTACTAATTATTCTTGTATACAAGACTTTACAAAATCCTCCTAAAATTTTTGATAGAACGACATTCTCCCAAGTTTGCTGGATTATACGCATTTTTAAGAAATTTTTTTTCTTGTTCATTTGCACATTGACTGTTTTTACATAGCAAGTGAATGCTAAAATAGGCCAAAGGCTATATAGTGAATGCTAAAATACAAAGCATATTGCCATTTAAATAGTACTTTTGATTACAGTATTCATTAGTACAGAATTGAAGTATTCATTAGTACAGAATTGAAGTATTACTCATTATTTTAGTTTTTACAAGAAAACACTTATCAATAACAAATTTATTAAAAAAATTTCAAATACATTACATTAAATTTTATAATGTATCTATTCTATAGTAGCACGCAAATGTTAAAAAACACCAAGTTTTTTTCAGTTATTAAAAAATTACTTTTTACAAAGTTTCTCAAGTCAGCTAAAAGTTTCACCAAACGTCCTTTATATAAAATCAATCAATAGTTTTAACACCAAAAATTATAGATCATAAGTCAATAAATTATAGATCAATAATTTCAAAAGTCTTCCATGCAAATGTTTAGAAACTGAATTTTGATGAAAATTTATTTCAAATATTTTTGATTTTTCAATAATTTACAAAAGATAATGGTCTAAGTAACACTTTAAACCAATGAAAGTCTAATAAGGTCAAGCTTCTACTTTTGGCTGATGTTGCTTGTCACTGGCTGTACATTCCAACATCATATGATTCATCATAAAAGGCGTTTTCTTCATATGAAAGCATTGTTTTCTTTATATATAAGTACTTCCTGCAGAAGAACAAAGCTTTAATCTGAAAAAGTGGATAAGCTACTTTATATTCAACAAGATTATGACAGTATTAAAATTTGTTTTTAGAAGCTCCCAATATAAGTCTGATGAAGCTTTAATATTTATTTGGAAATTTGTCATTTATCTTTTAAACCCTATTCAAATAAAAATAAACAAGTTTTGTTTATTTTGTTAATTTGTTGATAAAAGCTCAAAAACATTATTAGTTAAAACTTATTTAAAACTGTTTGCAATTACCTAGAAAAAAAGAGCAGTTTTATCAACTGTAATATGAGTTTAAATTTGTTGTTTAGAGTATAAAAAGACTAATTGCTTTTATTTTATTTTAATCAAGTTGACTCCCAAAAGTGGGCAATACTATTAAGATCAGGGCTCCGTAAACTAATTTATTAACTTTGGTTTTTTGGGCTTTAAAATAATTCTTAACAATTCTTTAATTGTAAGTTCTCTTATTGTGGGAGTTTTTTTTTATTTTTTCCATATAGGACCATAATATCCTTTATAGTGTTTAAATAAAATCTCTGGTCCTTTTATTTGATGAATGCAACCCACATTATTTCAATAAAAACATCTTTAAACCATATTTAATGTGTTCTGTAATAAAATCCCATCCACCCTTTTATTAAAAACTTTATTTTAAAAAGTTTACTAGATCTGAACTAATATTTAAATTATTTAAAAAACAACTTTTTTTTTCTTTTTTGTTATACATTCTTTCAAAACTTGTTTAGCTTTTCCAGTGACTTCTCTTCTTTTAAAATCTAAAAGTAATTGAATTTTGTATTGTATATGGAGTCTCTATCATCCAATCTAAGGCCTGTACATGACAAGTTGTACAGTTGTATCTCTTTCTTTTTTCTATAAATACTACCATAGTAAGTTTTTAATTGAGCTACCAAACTCCTGCCAAAACACAATTTTATTTGACTTTCAATTAAGTCATGCGTACGAAATCTTTCATTCAGTTAAGTTTTTTACTGTAACTGTTTTTATAATCTTTTCTTTCACTTGACATGAACTCTTCATCAGTTTTCTTTGTTGTCCTTCATGCACTACAAACTAACCTTTTTTTAAAAAAATCAGCTATTAAATTGCTTGCAGGTTTGTTTTTAAAAGGAATCTTTTTTTATTAATAAATCTTTTCATTTTTAAAATCGCTTAACTTTGTTTGTGGGTGTTTTTTTGAAATAAAAATATGAAATAATACTTACAACATAATTTTGTTTAATGATAATATGAAAATATACTACAAAAGTGGGGGGACGAGGGTGGCAAAGCAAATGAAGTATTTGTTACTTAATGTTATTTTACTTTTTATATTTTATATAAAAGTTTTCTATCCTTTTAAAAAATTTTTTTTTTTTAATTTAAATTTGATAGTTCAGTAAACTAACTATTGACAGGTCTGTACAAGATTTATTTAGAAACATGGCTGTCAATCTTTAGTTTACTGAACTATTAAATTTAAATTAAAAAGTTTGTTTTCCACTTTTTAGTTCCAAAAAGATTATATTTTTTAGCAAATGTTTTTGTTACATTTTGTTTTATATTCAACAAACTTTTTTTTTTTTTTAATTAGTGCTTTAGAATTCATTTCTGTCTTTCTGATTTATATAGTTTTATAAGGGACTCTTAAGTACTATAAAGTTATTTTTTTTTATATGAAAAACTGTTTTTTGTAAATTGAACAGTAATAACTAATTATGTCATTTAAAGTTTTATGACTTCTTAATAAAACATTTTATATTTTGATATTGATATTATATGTATAGATCGAGCGTTAAGTATTTGATGCTCACCTTGAGGCACTTGGAAATTTAATATTTTATAAATTATACTTGAGCTGATGTATATAAAGTTGTTTATGTATACATTCGAAAAAGCATTAGTGTTTTTTTAGAAAATAAATTTTGATCAAATTGTTTTTTGTAATATGTCATGTAGTTTATGTTGCTGCATACAATACTTTAAAAGTTATTAAAAACATTAGGAGCAATTATGACAGGGTACAAACAAGAAAGAAAGTGCAGCAGTTTTGTAAAAAAAAATGTAACCTTAGTTCTTCAAAAAAAGTGTAAACATACCAAGATTGTGGCTGCATTGTTCACACTTTACAGTTAGCTAATTATGATTGTTTAAAAGAAACATACACTACACAACTTATATAAAAGGTCTGGTATGTTATAAAGAAACTAAAAAATTTATAACATATTTCTAGCCGCAATTTATGTTGATGCTAGTTGTAGAATATTGTTGAAAAAAAATCAGATATATGAGCAAAACAAGTCTTAAATACAATAGCAAAAAAAAACTTGTAAAAGAATTCCCAAAAATATAACAATAAGTCAAGAAATAAGAAAATTAGCTGAATCATCTACATCACTTCATTCAGTTTTAGGTGAAACTAATTCTGAATAAACAATCAGGTGAGTTTGAAAAAGAGCTTATTATAAAAGAAAAATTGAGTAGTGTAACCAAAATTAATTTTTTAAATAAAAATATTTTTATTACAAATTTCATGGGCGACTGTCACAACCGGAAGAAAAGGAATGTTTAAAAGTGAAATCAGCTTTTGAGAGAATTGAGGAATACTCAAAATAGATACAAAGGTATGTAGAGTAGTCACTTCTATGGCTTTCTCACAAGCAAGTGTAGAGAGGTGATTTTCTACACTTAAGTTTATATCAAGCAATTTTGATATAACTACCAAAACCTGATATTTTATAAAATATTTTATTATTTTGATTTGTTTCCTCTGAAGCTGCTATGGAGCCAGAGCTGGAGCTAAAAACTTTAATGGAGCCTGGAGCTGGAGCCAATTTTTTGACCTCAACTCCAAAGCCCTGATTCCTATTATTAATTAATTACTTCTGTTAATTATATGATTATATCATACAATATATACTATAGAATTAACTACTATATATAGAGCTAAACATAAGTTTAACAAAAGATTTTATAACTTTTAATTAGATAGATTAACATTCAAACCTGCAAATATGCGAGAGCAACCAACTTCTATAGAGTTTACAATTTTGTTACCACCACAAAGTTCGTTAACAATTGAATATGAGTTTGAGAATGTATTTCTTGATTGGCTTCAGCATCCTCCAGATTCACATCATGGATACTATGTGGGGTATGTAGGTTTTTTTTAAATACGGAAAAGCTTATTGCACATAAATAATAGGCTTCAAAATTAAGTAAATCTTGGAGCAATTCTTCAAATTTTTGTACTCTAGACTTATTTTTAATTAGTTTTCGATGGTAAATCTGTTGTTGAAGAATTAGAAGTCTTTGGCTTAAATAGTTTTTAAATAATTTGCAATAAATATATTTATTCCTGGGAAGCGAATTTTCGCTCTGCTTTGTTGAGAGTTTGACATTTTTTTTATTTTTGTCTCACAGCAACTTTTATCTCCAAAATTTACAGTACTTTTATTCATACTTTGAAAAATATTTAACTTTTACATGTTAAAAGTATTCAATGTTATCAATTCATAACTTTTTTAACTGTTATTTACAATAAGGAATTATTTATCTTTAATTTATAATAGTGATGTTCAATGTTAGCAATCTATAGCTGAATTGAAAACTGTTATTTATACATAAGGAAATATTTGACTTTTATTTAATAATAGTGCTATTCAATGTTATCAATACATAACTGAATTAATAATTTATTTACAATAATGAAATATTTGTTTTTTATTTAATAATAGTGGTGCTTAATGTTATCAATTTATAACTGAATTGATAACTAGTTTTTATATTTAATGAAATAGCTTTTAGTAATAGTGCTATTCAACGTTATCAATGGTATTCAGGGTATTCATGAAATAGAATAAAAATCTTTAGAAATATTTTAAAAAAATTTTTTTGAATACAGAATTTTTTAAATAATTTTTACTATTTAATAAAACATCGTCATTCAAATCAGAGTTGATAAACGACGAAAGTCTTCTCGCCACCGCTTTTTTTTCAACGTGATTGACGGCTGCCTCCCAAAATATTTTTGGCTATAGAATGTTCTGACTTCCGTCTTCCAATTGGCGTCCGCTGCCAGAATTTTATTTTGAAGCCGCCGCCAATAGGGAGACAAAGCCCTTGGTGGTCACATCCAGAAGATATTTAAGAGACCGCTTCCAGTGGTTTCTGCCTCCCAACTGGCTGCGGCCGTCAAACTGGAAACGCCTCCTGCCTCCGGAATAAAATTAAAAAATGTTTAACGTTGGTTTTTTTAATTAGCAAGAAATTTGAAAATTAATTAGGTACTAATATTGAAAGTTTAACGTAGAAGTTGCGTTTTATATGGTTTAATGTCAAACTTTTCTTATTTAAAAAATTATAATTTTTTCAATGTGGTTTTTTTCTAAAACTATCGAATAAATTAGTAGTTTTATATTCAAAACAAAAATTGTAAATTTACTTCTATGACATAGATAAAAAAATCAATTTGACAAAAGCAATTTATAATAAGGAATTAAATTTTTGAACTTTACTTATTTAAACAATGTTTTAAATTTTACTAAATCTAAACATTTTTTAAATTTTATTAGGATTATTTTTTAAAATTACATTGTTAAAAAGTAATAAATCATTGTTTTATAAACTTTTAAAATTAAAATTACCAAGTTGAATTACTCTATTATCAACTCAAGCTTGAAAACAGAAAATTATTATTTATTGTTGATTTATAGGTAGTTCGTGTTTGTTATTGTTTTTTTAATTAATTGTAGCTGCTTAGTTTATTTTCATTTCAAATTTAAATAAAGTTTTTAATTACTCATCAATTAGCAAACTTCATTTTCTTCATATAACAGTTTTTTCTTCTGAAAGATTTTACCTAAATTTGACTGAAATTTAAATTTATCTTTAATTCTAATCATTTTAGCGTCCATCTTAATTTCTAACAACGGTTTTTCACAATTTAGTGTCGCAATCGAACTAACGTTTTTAATGCTCACTTAGTTTTTAACAAATTCTTCTTTTTTTTTAGATCTTCGGTAATCAGTGGAAAATTTCCGGATTTTTTAAACAGTACTGGAATATCCGAATTATGTTCATATATCACGAGGTCAGTTTTATTTTGATTGGTTATTGTGTTGTTTTCATTTTTAATCTTTGTGTATGTAAATGTTTTTTTTTTTTTTCTTTTTTTTTTTTCTTTTTTTTTTTTTTTTTGCATTGTTATTATTATTTAAAATATTTTACTCCTTTATTGACAAAAACATTTTTATTTTTGTTTAACAAATAAATAGAAATCGAAATGTACATAATCTTCTTGGCTAATTTATTAATATAGTTTGTTAACATTAAAAATAACAGATATGTCAATTTTTGTTTAAATGTTTTTCATATTTGCACAGTATATGACTGTTCTTAAGCCTGTATTATTAAAACCACTTGAGTTTAATTAAATAAACAAATGTATTAACTACGAAGCCCTTAAACACTATTACTATAACGGTTTAAACAAACACATTTAATTTATAATATATTTAAAAAAATTACATCATAATTAATGCGCTTAATAATGCATTTTTGTTTTTGTTTAGACTATTTTTAAATCTTTTTTTCCTAATTTTTATTTAGATTTTTAAATTTTATAACTGTTTATATAATTGTTGATATTAAAGTATAATAATATATAAATTTAAGTTATATAATAAATAAAACATAATAAATATTACATAATAATATTAAATATTATATGTTATATTACATTTGCGTTTGATGTGATATATTATATAAAGCTTACATTCTCATTGTATATAGAGCTAGCCTCAAGTACGTTGTATTTTGATTCAAAGGCTTTCCAAAATATTTTCATAAGAGCGCATCAAACTTTTTAATATTACATTTTACAGTAAAGAGATTCAGCTGAACCTTTTTTTACTTTTATTTAATCGTAGTCAATAAATTTTTACATCTTTCATCCTGCAATTTCTTCTTCGACGTAAAATGTATTCGAATTTAAATGTATACAAGCTGTAGCCGCATAAGTTTTAGATGTTTTTAGAGCAAATCCAAGTTTTTTTTAAAATATACCCATAAAAAAATGAATTTGCGCTTTAAAATATTTTTAAAATATTTAATTGCTTTGTAATTTTAATTTCAGCTTTGAAAAATGTAATCGTGGCACCGATCTACTATTTCGACGTATTTACACAGAATTGCTACTAATATCTGTTCCTCTACCAGACTTTAGTATGCCTTATAATGTTATTTGCTTAACATGCACAGTAATTGCTATCGCTTTTGGCTCTATTTTTAATATTACAACTCGAACTTTTCAAGTAGAAGAAAAAAATGTGAAAAAAGGATTGTTGGACCAATTAAAACGTGTTTTTTCTAAAGTACTTTGTAAAAGTAGCAACCAGTAAATTCTTTTTGTTTATTAGGTAAATAGAAATAAAGAAGTTTGTATTTTTTTTTAAACCTAAGTCTAGTTATGGACCCAAACCTGTTTGTGAAAAAGACTCTGCAAATCCAAACCAAATTGTTAATTTGTTTTAACCCTGCAAATCCAAACTTAATTGTTAATTTGTTTTAACCCTAAATTTTTTTTCTTATATTTTGAACTAAATAGAGTAGAAAGTACTTGCAAAGAAATGTAGCTCGATAAAACGCAAGTTGAGAAGAAATTACGAAATTTAAATAATTTTTTGCATCTTTGACTTGTTTTCAGTTGTCACGGTAAGTGGTTTATATCGTATTATATAGTATGCTATATAAACACGGTAAGTGTTTTATATCGTATTATATAATATGCTATATAAATGTAGTAAAATCTTTTAAGAGTAACTTCACCTTAAAGTTACCTCTCCTTCACCTACAGTTACCTCTCCTTCACCTAAAGTTACGTCTCCTTCACCTACAGTTACCTCTCCTTCACCTAAAGTTACGTCTCCTTCACCTACAGTTACCTCTCCTTCATCTAAAGTTACCTCTCCTTCACCTACAGTTACCTCATCTTCAAACATATTAAGCGGAGTTAAATCGTTGCACAGTTATTATTGTTAACTTAAAAATAACTTTATTCGTGTAAATGTGTATTTAAAGATGTTATTTATAAAACGCATTAAATTAAAGCTTCTTTAATAATACTTTTGATTAAAAAAATTATTTTTACAGTTAAGAGTGCATCCGTTTTAAATGTTTATTTATAAATATATATATATATATATAAAAGTATTTGTTTTGTGGTGTTTTGTTTGAATAAGCAACATACTTTAGTGTTCCAGTAGGACTGCTGCAAAAACAGCCCGATGGTCAGAGAATCCTACTCCTTGGCTGCTTTTATCTATCAAAGTACCCGACAAAAGGTTTGAAAAGCCAGTATTCCATATTTGGTCTGTTAATTTAGCATTTGGTTTTTCTTCTCCATTGACGATTTCAATTATGGACGGTCTAGGGAATAATTTTTTTGAAAATTCCATCGTGTTAACTAATTTAAGTTTGTGATTTTTAATTTCATCATAAACAGACGTTTCTTGTTCCCAATTAATGTTACCTGCTAATAAAAGTGGATAACTGCGTCTATCCATTATTTCGTCACTTAAATGATTTAGAAGTATCTTAACTTGGTTCTCAGCGATGTCAGCATTTTTGTTGCTTATTTTTGTTGTTGCTACGTAGAACTTCTTCCAGCTGTATACAAATCGCTTTCTTGTCACCATTTTCATTGGTCTTCTAAAACTTTTACCCGTTGCGTCATGAAGTAAACGAGTTAGTTTTTCGCTTATCGGTTCTATGGCTTGACTTTGTGGTTCTAAGTTTAATTTCACAGCGTATTGGAATTTAATCCAGGTACAAGTCTGTTCTTCGACTGAATTGTGAACTTTGGTGAAAGGAATGTTTGGGGTTTTGCTCAACCAAAATGTACCGCTATCAATTTTCTTAAGAAAATGAGTGCGCTTGTAGAAAATAGAATTCAGTCGAGAATTAGTTGATCGCTTTTTTTCAGGTTCAACGTACGAATAGTGTGGTAAGCATAACGTCATAAATTTGAGTTGAGATTCAGTTAGCTCTTGCATTGCAAATATCTAAATATAATTTTTGACAAAAGTGATGTTGAAAATTTTTACAAAAAGTGTTTTTTAATTAGAATAGTAAATTTTATAATTTAGTTATTTTTTTAGTAATATACAATTATAATAAATATTTTACCATTAAATCAAGTTTCTTTAAATACTCGCATAATTCTTTTTTACTATTTTCCCAGTCTGCTTCTTCTGTTTGATTATTTTCTGAATTAATGTTCCAGGTTATTATTTGTAGCAGATTATGTTTAATGTTTGGCTCGACTAGTTGATTAATCTCTGAGGAAATATCTTGACTCAAAAGGCCATTTGAAAATGAACATTGGTGGTGCAAACAGACAGCTCCAACATATTTGAGTCCATATAATAATGAAACGATAACTAGACAAGCGCTCATTGCTACTGAGGTTGTGTCAAAACAATGTCCTTTCGTTGTTGATGTCCTTTAACTAATAAACTTTGTAAAACAAAACTTTGACAAAACATGAAACAATTATTATGATAATGTCTGAAAACACCGTTTGAACAAACATTATTGTGTTCGTTAAATGCGCATTTTTACAATGTAGATTTTGCATGTTCTTATTTGCCGACTTCACAGTCATTACACAAGTCACATATTTATCTAAAAGAAGTATTACACTATGTATTAAACAAAACATCAAAAACAAAGTTTTCCATAAAAAATTAAACTTATATATTCTGTTAAATGCCGCGCGTAATTTTATCTATATTTTCCCAATAAAGAACTTCTTGACAAAATGGTTTTTATCTGCGAAAAGACAATTTACATACGGTGCGGTGTTTGGTACGATAAAATATGGAGTAATGTTAATTAACATATATGTGTATAACCTATATGTGTGTGAGTATATTTATATATATTTATATATATATATATATATATATATATATATATATATATATATATATATATATATATATATATATATATATATATATATATATATATATATATATATATATATATATATATATATATATATAGATATATATATATATATATAGATATATATAGATACATACATACATACATACATTTTATATTTTTTTATATTTATATTTTGCTTTCGTTTCAACGATTCATGGAGCTTTAATGTTTTGCATTTTTTAATCGTTTTGTGATTTTACATGTTTATATTTGTTGGTTATTGTTCAGTTTTATATAGAAATGATAAGCTTTCACAAATTTTCAAAGATAAGCAAGATAATGTTTATATTGCTATGATCTTTGATGCTCGATTGGCAATACAATATCGAATAAAGTTTGTTTGACAAAAGTTTATTTAGAAAACTAATATTTTTCTAAATGTTTTGGTATGTTTCAAAGTAAAGAGATATTTATAGACAACAAAGATTAAATAAGTTATCATACATTATATACTAAATCATTAAATAAAATAAATTATCATACATCATATACAAAAGCATTAAATAAATTATCTTACATTATATACAAAAGCATTAAATAAAATGTTTAGGAACACGGGGCAAAATTTAAAAAGCATCTTAGTCAGTAATTATCCTAATAAATGCAATTTTATTATTAGTGACACAATATTGATAATTCATAACTTAAAAAACTGCTAGATATGAAAATAGCTTGGCAAAATCGCATTTTTCAAAGTGTCATCTGCCCACTTGTGTTGGAAGGTGACAAGTTAAGTTAAGCTAAACTCTATATTATCTCGTACACTGCCCCCAAAGACTTAAACATTGTGAATACTAGCCTATAAATCAAGTTAGGTTAATCAAAAGTTTTTTTAAATATCAAATCACACACTAAAATAGGGTTTATGACAAAAAAAACTTATTAAAAATTTTTGTTCCTAATCAATTTAAATTTCAAAACAAGATGTTGCAATTCTTAAAAAAAAAAAGATCATTACGCAATACAATAAAAAGTCTATGACTTAACCAACGATTAAATTTCAGTTCAACACATTGGCCATTTTTAAAGGTCGAATTTGTTGTTGTTGCGCTTTTATTGCTTTTTTGTTTTTTAGTTTTGTTTTGTTGAGTCAACTGAATCTGTTTCAATACTATCTTTTGTTTTGAATAAATTTTAAACCGTATCTTTCTTTTGTTTGAATTTATTTTTGGTTATGCCTGGATTTATTTGTTTTCCTCGGGGCATTGACCAACTTTAATTACACAACTTGCATTCTACACAAAAAACAGGGGCCAAAGGGTTTTACGGGTAATTGTTGTGTTATGTTTGAAAAAGGTTTGAAATTATATTTAATATTTGCATTTAAAAAAATGGTTGTAATGATTGTTACACAAATAGTTTGGTATACGCATTCATAGTCATGTAAAATATATTTCAGATTATATTCTGGTGGATTTAAATTTAAATTCTAATATATATTTCTGATCAATGGCATTATGCACAGAAGTGTTAAGTATAACATTCATTCAAATTGGACTAAGTACGCAAAAATTGTTGTATTTTTTCAAACATTATTGTGCCCGAATATGTTAAGTGTACGATAAATTGTTATGAGTCTACTACCGTTTAAAATGTTACGAGCCTACTTGTTTCAAAATGCTCCCCTGTAAAATCACATCTGCGGCACTTGACACTTCTGTGCATAATGCCATCGTAATTATATTATGGCTCATTTAAATTTACATATTAATATATATTTCTGATTATATTCTGACTCTGATTCATTATTCTCATTATATCCATTAAAGTTTCCTGATTCATTCTATTGCCTGATTTATATTACCTGCTATTGGATTTCCTGATTTGTTATAGGGTAATCCCAGGTCAAAACAACAAGTCGAAATAGCCCACCACCTCAGAAGTACTTGAGTTTTGGCACAAATGTAGTGAAATAATGAAATTGGCTCCAATTTATTTTTGATTATTCTTGGCAACGTCAATAGGGTCACTAAAATGTTTAAGTATTCAGAGTTACATTAACCATACGTTAAGTATACACAGTTACATTAACCATACGTTTAAAAAATTTATTAGGTAAAAAAACTTACGAAGGAAGAAATCGGAAATCATTACTTGAAGTTATTAGATCTTATATTTAAAAAAACTTTGAAATGCAAACCGGGTTTTTTACAATAATTTTTCAGTAAACATGTCTAGTTTAAGATTAATTACCGTAAAATGGGGTTACTTGGGTCAAAAATGAAACATCTTACCTAATAATTTTTAATGCATAATGACTACAGAATTGGTTATTATATATTATAATAATCATATTAACACCTTTTTTTCTCCTGCAAATATAAATTGTGGCTTAAAATTATTGCTATAATTTTGAATCATTTTGTACCTGGCTCAAGTTAAGCTGATTTTGGGGTTGTTTAGTCCAGTTATTCATTTAAGTCTGTCAAAGACATGAAAAAGTACAGAGTTCAAAAATATATTTATAAAATTAAAATAAACAAAATTCACTTTCTATAAAAATTACACCAAACAAATAAAGTTCATTTCATGAAATAAGTCCAAAACCTATTTACACATAAGCTTCTCGTTTCCATTCATTTTTAGCTCTTGTTGAATCGAAATTCTTTACCTTCTTCTTTGCACCAAACATCATACAGGTTTGTAGCTTTGTAAACTGTGTAAATTGGCAACATCCTTCCTGATGCACTTGCTTACACCAGCAATGCTATTAATGTTTTACTGTGGTCTAATACTCTAATTACCCTTTTTGTTCCTCTTTTTGTCTTGACTTCCTTACTAGTGGAGTTGCCAGTCGAATACACTAAATATTGTTTGACTTATTCCATAAAATAGTGGCAGTCTAATGGATATCCCCAATTACAAGCAATTTATAATTTTTGAACTAAGGCAGCTTCTTCATTACTAAGTGCACAAGGTCGGCCATATGACTTAAGAGACTTTTTGACCTTCTTAGTGTTGCTTTTGGTATCTTAAATTCTATTGCCACCTCCCTAATTAACTTTCCCTTATTAATCTCTGTCCAAGTCTTCTCAACCATTTCATAAGAATAATTGCAATATTGTCTTACACCTAACTGCCTATTGTATTTCCTCGACATCTGAAAATGAAACAGTTTTACATTTCAAATTATTTTTGTTAAGACACAAAATTGTTTGATGTAGATGGCTAGAATTAAGCAGGACTAACTTAACAAATAAAATCTGTTTATATGATATAATTAACTTCATAAATTACTATTATAAAATAGCGGTTTTGAAAATTTTGAATAAATGTTGACCCAAGTTACCCAGAAGGCCTAATTTATTAAAAAAATAATTTTTACTTAACTTTTACTCAATTATTACAGTTATAATTTTGCAACATGTGATAATTAATAATATTAAATAAATAGAATAAATATTAGCATTAGTAAATTTGATATATACCTTTTCCTGCTGTAATGCTTCCGTAAAAAATATTTAATAAAGATTTACCTTATAAAACTTTATTCAATTTTAGTGTAAACAACTTTAAATCATTTTATTGTTGTGTTGCTAAGTGATAAAAGTGCATTAAAATAAACAATACGCTTACTTACCATTACCAATATGCTTACTTACCGTAGAGTTAACACCGTAGAGATTAAAAGCCATTATTACCCATTATTTAAGACCTCATAATTTGACTCAAGTAACCCCAAGTTTTATGGCTAACCCAAGTAACCCAAATTTACGGTACAGAAAAAGTAATGATTTATTCATCTCAAAACTTTACGATATTTGTTTATATACAAATACCCTTAAATGGTAAATGTTACTTCACTGTTTTTCAATGCACATATCTATTTTATTATAGTTTTATTTTTGCAATTTTATTTTTTATTTACCAACTTGATTATGATATCGTTAATTACACTCATTTAATTTTATTACATTTTCTTTTATTGAGTAATATTTTTTAATTAGCAGGTTCAATATTATACCTGGTTAAAAAAATTTGTTCAAATTGCTTAGTCAAGTTAAAAGCTTTCACTGGAATTAACGCTGATAATTATCAGTAACAATTTTAACATTGATGTTGCTGCTGGTGATGAAACAATTGAAAGTATAATAAAAAAAAATCGTGTTTAACATTCAACATGATATAAATAAAAGCAGACAAAAATTTTTGATTGTCTGAGTATAATTAGTGTGTCACCAGTTAGACTTCATGGAAAGCCATTTGCAAATAGTATGAGTATTGGGAAAAGAAAACTTAGAACAATTACAAAAGATTTCAAAGGAAATTTCTTTGAAAATTCCATTGACAGAAGCTGAAGTTTTCAATAATGAATATATCCTTGATTAAAAAAAAGTTGCTCAGTTAAAAAGTAAACTTGAAATATGTTGTTCATTTAGGGACAAGATTCAAGTCTTGACTTTGTGTTTACAAGAATGGTCAACTGAAGCATCTAGTGATTATATTTTGGTGCTTCAAAATATCTAATTATAAAATCTTGAACGAGGTAAATTGTTGCCTAATCATATAAATACTTTATTGAAAAATTTTGGTCAAAATGGTTTTGTAAGTATTAATTGGAAAGTCCGTATGCAAAAGCGACTACTTTTATCAAGCTTAAAAGAGTTTTAAATAAAACAATTAACTCTTTTAAGCTTGATAAATGCTATGTAATACATGATAACGCGTGTAAAGTTAGGTTTTTCCAAGTTTTGTGTTTTAAGACTTAAATGCGTTTGTATCTACCACCAAAACATGAAGTCAATCCTTACCCATTCAATAATTCTAAATACGAAGATTTATGTAAAACGTTTCAATATTTCTATAAAAAACAAAAAATTCAAAAAAAAACAAAAAAAAAAAAAACAAAGAAAGTAAAGCAAAACAAAATAGGAAATTAAGATAAATTTAAATAAAAAAAAAATAAAAATTGATAACTTTAATAACTAGTGCACTGTTTTTATTTTTGTTTCTTTAGAGTGGTTATAAAATTAAGTAATTAATAAAATTAAGTAATTAGATTTCAAAAGATTTTTTTTTTAATTTGTATTTTTTATCATTTGCAACCGGATTCGAAAACCAGTTACTTTAGTGGAACTCATACAGACGTAGGAGCCGATAGGAAGAAGACGTAGGAGACGTAGAAGCCTCAGGGAAGAAGGAGAAAAAATTAGATTCGAATAAGAGTTAGCTAAAAACTATTAAAAAATGTTGGACAGATGTCCATTATAAAAGCACAAAATTCAAGCAAAGATTGATTATTAACATTTGTTTACGTATATCACCAATAACATAGAAGACCAAAAGGGAGGGGGCGGGTAGAACTAAGCGCGCTGAGCCGAATGTTAAAATTTAAAATTACAAAGTGTTAAAAGATTGAGAATAAAAACAGAAATAGAAAGATATTATGCAACAATTAAGTCTGTGTAGACGACATGGCATAATTGAAGCTTAAAAACTATGTATATACGTGTGTGCACCTTACTTAGAAATTACACTGAGAGGCTTGAATGATACAAGAAATCTAAATGTGAAGAGATGTGTATCAATCAAAAACAGCAGAAAGACTATTTATTTACAAAAAAAGAAAGGTAAATGATTACAAAGCAAGTATATGAACAGCAGAAATTTAACGAAAAACAATGAAAAATTGGCTGTTTAAGTTAGTATTGTTTCTAGCTTCTTTTTGTTGTGATATTTTTTTTTTGAAAAACTAAACACATCGCTCCAACTTAAATCTTTTTTAGTAGTACTCGGTTTATCTGTTCTTCTCTTGTTAATTCCAAGTAATTCCATGATAGGAAAAATAACCATTTTGCTTACTTCAAAATTTCTGAACAGAGAATGAACCAATCATTCTGTATACAAACTGATACAACTAGGGCAAGTTTGTTTGAGTTGTTTTCCTCAGTTGCTTCAAAAAGGTCTTGGATGGACTGTCTCCTAGTTACAAACTGTTTCGCTATTTCAAATAGCCCAAAGCAAACAGAAACAAGTCCTCTGAATCCGCAATGTTTAATATTAGGAAGATTCCCCGACTAGCCGACTATATTCCTCAAAAACCCAACTTTAACTTAAAAATCACTTTCTTTTTTGAAAATCTTTTTTTTTTTTTGGGGGGGGGGGCATACATTCCCCCGTTAAATTGCCCTATGAGCGTACGTACTTTATGGACGGCTTCTTATTATAAAAGATTTAATTTTAGTTTTAAATAATACAATTACTTTTACTATTATTTAGGTTCCAAGTTAAAAACACAACTATAAAAATATTGTGTATTAAAAATTAAACTTTATTTTTAAAAAGTTTTTAGCTATAAAATTTAAATAGCTTTTTAAATTATTAAAGCTCTTTTATTTTTCATTCTTATTGTTTTTACAGTTTTTTAAGATGTTTTCTAATGAAATTCTGAAACTGGTCATTTAAACTAATCAAGTTTACTTAAAAATAATTACCGTAAAATCGCCTAAAATCGGTCACTTAAGCTTCGAACATTCATATCTCAGGCATAAATAAACGTTATATATATTTTTTTCTGAATTATACAGCCAATTTTATCTCCAACATATATATATATATATATATATATATATATATATATATATATATATATATATATATATATTATATATATATATATATATATATATATATATATATATATATATATATATATATATATATATATATATATATATATATATATATATATATTAAAAATAAAATAATAAAAATAAAAACTAGCATTAAATTTTTAATTTCAAATAAAAACAGCTATTTTGACCGAGCTTTCAATACCATCTCATAAGTTCGGTCGCTAAAAATATCCTTATAACGCATCACAAACTTATTGTCACAAATAATATAAACTAAATTTTTAAATGTTTTTTTATTGTAAAAGCATAATTCAGTATCAGGAATTACCTTTAACCAAAGAGGGCGTCGTCCTGGGCTCAAAAAAAAAAGCCTTTTGGAGCGCCAAAGAAAATAAAAAGCAGCAAATAAAAAATGGCTTTTTTAAATATAAATAGTTTTTTTTTTTTTAATCATAATTGGTCAACCATTTTATTACTTCAGCCATTATCACTTTTTCTATTCCACTGGTTAATAAAATAAAAAAAATATTTTTCAACTAGGTTAAAAAGCTTAAAAAAAGCTTTTTTAACAATTCGCGACGTTAGAATTATCTTGTTCTATCTCCACTTTCTGAAAAATTGAGTTAATGATAGTGTTGTGTTCCTCAAAATAATGTCTTTCTACTGAATTGAAATCTAAGTTATAAGTAAAAAAGTTTCGGAAAAAACATAAGTTATAAAAAAAAGATTTATACGCCGTCTCCTAACGTTTTTGTTTTTTAAATCGTTTTATCTCAAAACTAAAAAATGTGGAGATAATTATAACGTCGCGAATTAACAAAAGTTTAAATCATTCATTTTATCCACTTTTAATCCACGCTTTAAATGTTAAGTAAGAAAAAGCTACTCTACTTTGGTCACATACTGTTGACCAAAGTAGAGTAGCAAGATCCACACGACAATTGAATTACCCTCTAGTATTGTTTTTTCACACAAAACCTTTCTTGCTTGTATTTCATTCTTTTTATTTTGTACTATTATTTGCTTGTTTGGAAGTTCTATCAAATCTTCTTCAGAAGTCATGATGTAACTTTTCATGAGACGCACGTTATTATTAGAAACATTTGCTTATAAAACAGCTTTGATTCTAAAACAAACTTTATTACATATCACGGTTTGACGGCATATTATTTGAAGTTCTAAGAAATAGCTTATTACATTGACGTCTAATAAACGAGTAATACCAGGCAAGAGTAAATTCGCTGCCATCAAAACGCGTTTGATTTGAATAAACCAAGTAGTTATTAAAAACACATAGTTTTTCAAGTCAAGTCAAACTAAAACCAATATCACTCATAAATAATGAAATTTTTACTAAAATGTCTTCGATTTTGTCGCTCAACTTAGTTGGTTTACCATTTTTTATAGTATGCTTTCCGTTACTTCTGTCGAAAATTGATCTTTTGAAGCCAAATGTTTTAGTTGATTTCCTTTTCCTTAAAACAGGTTAATTTGGAAATTGTAAAAAAAATTTAATTCAAATAAAGTACCATAGTGATTATCCATTATAAAAAGTCTAAATTTACCTGTAAATTTACATAACCAAAGTTAGAGTATTTCAAAATTTCACTAATTTAAAAAAAAAAAGTATGAAAGTATTCAAAATTTTTTTTTTTTTTTTTTGTAAATATAATCTGATTCTTAATAATACTAAGGTTAAATTTGATCATTTATTTTAATTTTTTTCTTATTTTTAGACTTCAAAAATATGCCTTTTTTTGAATTGTTGTTTTGCTAACGAATTGTTTCATGAAACAAAAACAAACATTTTTTTTATAGATTCATATTTATGAAGTAATAACAAATATTATTCGAGAAAAAAAAATTTGTAAAATTTGAGTTTTGCCCGCCTTTTTTTTTAAATTTATATTTATATTTTTTCCTTAAATGACCGAAGTTACATGGTGAACGAATTTATGCGATTTTACGGTATGTCAAAAATTAAAAAAAAAATCTTTAATTACGATGCTTTTTAACTCAACGACGCTCACATAAGCGTGACAATGAATCAAAATTTTTGGCTTAACTTTATTTTTCGTAATTATCTGATACTTATTAAATCGATATTTTATTTACAATATCCTGTTTTTTACTATTTTTGTTTATGTGACTCAAAAAAAACAAAAAAGCTATATTTTGCTCGAGCCAGCTTAGCTGGCTTACACGGGTGTAAAGGCGGGCGCATGCTATTGCCCGCCATTCCTGCCTATATATACTTACATATAAATTTATATAATTTAACTTTTTTTTTTTTAGCAAAAATTAAAATATTTACTGAAATGATTTTTACACTCAAAGAGTTAAAGAGATGGATATTAATATCTATATTTGAAGTATCAATGGCTCTTACAGTTGTTTTAATATTTTCTGTTCTCCTTCTACTTAAGATTGAAAGACACTTAGATGCTTCATGGTGGACAATATTTGCTCCTTTGTTTGCATTTGATATACTGACTGCATACTTTGACATAATTGTTTTTATTAGACTTTATTTAGTATTAGAACGAAGTCTCGCTGCAAAAAGACTGATTACAAATGCAGTAATTTTACTTTTATTAGTTGTTTTTAAAGTACTTCTTTGCCAAAAACTTGAAGGAATAAAACATTTACCTTGCTCTATTGTATGTTCACCATTATTTGTGCTTTTGTTTTTATTGTTAGTTCGTTCTTGCGTTATTTCTGATGGATTTTAAAAAGTTTCTTTTTATAAAACTTGTTTTACATTTAAATGTGTATGTAATTTTTATTTTAGTGTATATTTGATGATAGCAAATAATTTGTTGGTTTCAAGATTACAACTAAATGTTAAAAATATAAAGGTTAAAAAAAAGTTCGATCATATTATAATATCCTAGTTGTTAGTCAGATTTCAAATTTTTCAAAAGTTTTTTGTTGTTTGAAAAGAAGAATCTTTCTAGGGGGACTTCTCATTCCTGAAGGATAGAATAATTAAATTTCGAGGTAGATAAAGTTTTTATTAAAATAGTACTCTGTGGCAATATAAGACATCCTTATTTTAATAACGGCTTTTAACATGGCTCCTTTCATATATCCAATTGTGAATATCAAAAATGTTTGATTACAGTCAAATTTTTGAGTGAACTGAAGGAGATTCAAATTTTTGAGTGAACTGAAGGAGATTTAGATTTTTGAGAGAACTTTAAATTTAGGAAATGCTGATTTTACAATTGCTTTCATCTTATTTTTTTAACCTGCATTTATAAAAATTCTTTGTCCCACTTCTTAGTTTTACTTCTAAATAAAAAAAAACAATAACAATTTAACAAGCTATCTAAATGATTAATAGTAGGAAAATATTATTCAATGAACCATTGACTGATGATTAATAGTGAAACAATGCAACTGGGATTTCCCAAAACTATAATGGAATACTTTTTTTTTAATTTTGCAAATGATAAATCGGTTAAAATATATTGAATTTTAATTTTTATGTATTTATTAAATATTGGATTAAAATTTTGTTTTTTATGTTTTATTAAAATTCAATATTTTTTAAAAATAATAGGGGAGAGATGCCTTAATTGGATGATGCCGTAAGTTAAAACACTTGCATTTGTTTTAAAAAAAAAAAATTAATTATGGGCATATTTTGTCTAGTAAAAAGGTTTATTATCTATGTTTCTACAGATTTTGAAATTTTTTTTTTGGTGACCTAATTTCATGCTCACACTACATTGATTGCACAGGGTATATATATTAAAAAATCCTTGTTTATTCAATTTGCGAAAAAAAATCCCACTAAAAATTGTTGCAAACTAAACCACTAAAAATTGTTGCAAACCGCATTGAAATAATATAACTTGAACTTTAAAATTAATATAATTGAACTTTAAAAGATAATACTTAGTAAATGATACTTGATAATAACTAAGATATACATTAACTCCCAATGGAAATAATAAAGATGAAATCAATAAATTGTCTCAACTAGATCAAAATCAACAAACCACAAAACATACAACCTAATAAAATCTGTAGGAATCCAGATGGAATTAGAAGACCACCTAAAGACTTGAATTAACTACATTATTAATAACTAAGAAAAATTAAATATATTGATTAGTATTATCTTGTAAAAGTTCTTATGATGCTATCATCCTACTTTTTATGTCATCATTCCACTTCTTATAATATCATTCAAAGCAATGGATGAAGAAATAAAATTATGAAATAAAAACCTCTTTATCTTGCCAAATAGTAAATATCTAATTGGAGGTAATTTGCTTTACTGCTATAGGTTATACAATTTTTTGTGTTTAATGCGATGGGATTTAAAATGAAAATAACTACAACCATGCAAGTTTAGAATATTTTGTTATATCACTGCATGATATTGCAGTGATATATCAAAATTTCCTAAATTGAGACTTAAAACTTTTTCTTACTTAACCGGTGATAAAATTAAAGGGTTGAAGAAATAAATCGAGAACAATTTAAAAATACTTAGTATCAACCATAAACCTCAAAAGAAATACATAACAAAATGGTACCATTGCAAAAACAAATTTCCAAAAACAGTGCAATATATTAAGTCAAATTATGGTTAAAAGTATAGTAATAATGTCTTTTTGTATTAATCAAATCATAAATGTTTTTATAGTTAGGACATCTTCAGTTAATAAATATTGATTCCTTAAGTATTCCATTTAAGGAAATTCTCTCCTCTATTAACAGTTCTTTTATTTATTATACAAATATATAAAAATGATATGGTTGTTGTATGATAAAAATAATAAATATAATAAAAAACAATACATATTTTGACTAGTCATCTTCAGTTAAAATTAAATGTCCAAAACATTTTTAAAATACCTAAAATAGTGTTAACAAAACCAAAGCAAAATAATAATTTAATTGCATGAATCAATTCTTATTAGCATAGAAATGTCTATAGATATGAGACTTTTTGTTCCTCTTGCAATGTCGGATTGAGATGGTGAGTAGTTTTGTCTATATGACAGGAGTTACATCCTGCGCATTATAGACCACGAATGGTTTGAACTATAACACGAATGGTTTGAACTATAAATAGGATCTTTAGAAGAAAAGAATTTAGAAATTTTTAGTGAGGTAAATATTAGTTCAACATTTGCAGAACAGCGATATCTTTCATCAAGTGAATTCAGTTTTATTTTAGTTTAATTGTATATTTTCCCAAAAAATGGTATTTTAAAATAAGACAAAGATTCTTAGATTCTTGGTTGTGGTGGAGTATTTGTGTTAATTTTGATTAAACAGGAGTTATATATTTTTAAAATATATAACATTTTCTTTGAAATATTTTAAAGAGGTTGTTTATGTCGGAGTGAAACCCAAGTTTAGTACTATTGATTTTAAATGTTTTATCAATTAAGGATTTGATTAGACTAACTCTGTACAAAAACAGAGTAAAACTTTTAGTGTAAAGACCAGAATAGGTTTTTTTTATAAAAAACCGTTGTGAACCTATAAACAAATTGCCAAAAACAGGTGCTAGCGGATAACCCATGGCTACACCATCAACTTAAGCATAAGTTTGTCCTTTAAAAAGAAAGTGTCTACAAAGTGGCGAATAGGAGTAGTTTTTTAAAAAATCTCATATCTATTAGCATTTCTGTGCTAATATGAATTGTTTCATGCAATTAAATGATGCGTTTTCTGTTTTAGATCCTGCATTTAATAAATTTAAGTTAAAACTTAAAAAAAGTATGTTCATAGAATGGTTTAAACCTAATGGTTAATGACACTTCCTGTGTAGCTATTACTTTTTATTCCTTTGCGTATCTTTTTGACCTATTCTTATTTTATTTCCGTTTTCTTTAGTATAATGTTAAACTTTTAAATTTATTTTATTGTATTTTTGTAGTTATATTATTTTTAGTTTGTACACAAGTTATTACATTTTGTATTGGTTTTTTTAACACTTTTTTTTAGATATTTTTAAAAAGTTTTAAAATATTTAATTTTAACTGAAGATGCCTAGTATTAGTCAAAGCATCTATTGTTTTTTTTTATAATAAAATGTTTTTTTTTTAGTTAAAAAAATGGTCTTGTTTATGAATATATCAGGGTTCCCAATCCTCCTTAAAAACCTTAAATATCCTTAAAAAATTAAAACTTTCTTAAATGTCCTTAAATAACCTTTAAAAAAGTTAAAATTTAACTGCTCTCCTTCTTCTTTTATTTTTATTATTTATTTTTAATCTAGGAAATTTTATTAAAGTGAATGGATTACACAGGTCAACAAAAAAAAAAAATTTTTTCTGGTGCCGAGCAAACAATTTGTTTTTAGATAGCATTTCTCATTTTGATTTCAAATATTCATTTTTCACTAACACGTCAAGTTTTTAATATATTTGGGTTCAAATCTTTAATATTTGGAGTAAAATTCCTAATATTGCCAAAAAAAAATTAAAACCAAATATAAAAAATTTGTTATTTTAGTTTCAACGATAACTATACTTTCGTGAGAAAAGTTATACTTTTACGAGAGCCGTAAATTGCTCCCGTAAACTGTTTTAGAGGAGTGTGGATGAGAGCGAGAGCTAAAGCTCTTGCTTCCTGCCCAGGCCTACATATATATATATATATATATATATATATATATATATATATATACACATATATATATATATATATATATATATATATATATATATATATATATATATATATATATATATATATATATATATATATATATATATATATATATATATATATATATATATATATATATATATATATATATATATATATATATATATATATATATATATATATATATATATGAAAAGAATGAAAAGAAAAGTGAATAATTAATTTAGGTCAATTATTGGAAGATGGAAAGTGAAAATTAATTAAAATGTTGAAATGGGGCTAAATTAATTTGCACCTGTGACAAATAACTTAATACTGTTAAATCATGTTGAACCACAGGTAACTTAATACTTTGCTTACCAATCAATCATATTTTAATACAAAGTATATTATTTATTAATAAAAAGAAATATAAATATATAAGGAATGATTTTTTGTTGCTCTATTTTTTAACTTATTAAATCAATTATTTTAAACAATTTATTAATTACCAGCATTAAAAATACTTTAATATGTTTATAGAGTTTTTTTTTTATATATAGCTTTGACTAAAGATCTCAGGTAGTAACATGCTGGTTTATAACATAAGTAATATTTTTTTAGGCACTTTTTAAATAAAAGGTCAAGGTTCTTAAAGGTAAGTACTCTTTTTAATATTTTCTAAGAATGTTTAACAAATTTTTGAAAATAAACAATTTTAAAGACATTTTTAGTTATTGAATTCATATTTTTTTATTATTTACATTTAAGTAAACAACAAAACAACAACAACAACAAAATTGCTTAGTGCACTGACTGGTTGTGTTTTAAAAATATTGTCTGTAGTTAATTCTTTGTTTCATATGTATTATATGTATTATAGTATAAAAATCATACTAATAGGTAATTTTTTCAAGATAATTCTAATAAAATAGTCTACTAAATAGAAGAATGAAAACAATTCTTTCAGTAAACAACCCTTAAAAACTTATTTTAGTGTTAATGATGGGAAAAAAAAACTTGGTTTTTCTCAAAAAAACACAGACCAACCTACTTAATGGATTACAAATACATTTCAATCAAATACAATTATTTAACAAACTTTAAAGTTGAATACAATACAAATTCAAATATGCCAATTTAGCTATTGTTACTAAATACAACTGATTCCTCAACTTTCATACCGATAATTCATACATGGATAGAACTGCAAATTAAAAAATAAAGTTTTAAAATAGTTCAAACTCTAAATATAATATAATAATATATAACTATAATAATAACTATAATAATAACTGTATAATGTATATTATATATTTTATATAACTATAATAATAACAAAATGTTATTACTATATTCTTTTATGCATTCTGTAAAGTACCCTAGTATTTCATTATTTTTATCATTATTATTGTTATTGTTGTTGTTATTACAAATATTATTACTATATAGTAAATAAATTTTTAAATTAAATTTTTTTGTCAAAATGTGACAAAAAACTAACCTAATTATGTTATTCATTTAGCTCCATGGCAATGGTAACAAAAGCAATAAAATGCGGAAATGAAACAGATTATAGTCAATTATAAGTAAGTATAGTTAAAAATAAATCAATTGTTTATGACTTTTATATGAGCACACCTCCTAATCACCCTTTTAAAGTATTTTTGACATGTTTTTTTAATTACTTGTTGTAAAGTAGATAATTAAACATTGTTTAAACATGCAGTTTTATTGCAAAGTTTTTTTGATAATTTTTTTTTAATTACTTTGGTTTTTTGGATTTATTTTTTGGTTTTTATTTAATTTAAAATCATGCAAAAATGTTAATGCAAGTATTAATAATGTTAAAAACTATTAAAGTAGTGGAATTTTTGATTGTTATGGTTTTTATTGTTTTTATTGTTCTCTATTTGATCCAGGATCAATAAAAACAAAGTGCATTATCACACTTTTTTTAAACCATCTAACATTTTTTTAGAAGGGTTTACATAGTTTTATATATATATATATATATATATATATATATATATATATATATATATATATATATATATATATATATATATATATATATATATATATATATATATATATATATATATATATCTGTGTGTGTGTGTGTGTGTGTGTATATATATATATATTTGTATGTATGCATGTATGTATGTATGTATGTATGTATGTATGTATGTATGTATGTATGTATGTATGTATGTATGTATGTATGTATGTATGTATGTATGTATATATGTATGTATGATGTATGTATGTATGTATGCATACATACATGGATGCATACATACATGCATACATACATACATACATACATACTTGCACACATACACACATACATGTGTGTGCATATATGTGCAGATCAAATGGAAGGGTTGTAGAAAATTTTTATATTTTATTTTAATTTATCATTATTACTTTTTTATAGGGTATGAATGTGTTTTTGTGTTTTTAAATGATATAAATATAATTATTACTTATAATTAAGAATTAATTACAAAATTGATATTATTGATAGTTGTATAAAATGTATTTGTTAAAATGTTTTGACTTTTAAAACTCAGAAATTGTTAAGATGAATTATTGCACCCTTAACCCCACTCATTTTTAATCTTCAATTTTTATATAGTACTCTATAAGCGGGTACAATAAACTCGTCCCATTGGGTGAATAGTGCAATAACCTGCTATTGTGTCTGTACAAATCACATGTTTTTTTAATCTATAGTTGTGTATAAATTTTATAGTTGACTACCAGCTCATACATGTCAAACAAAGGATATGCAGAAAATTCTGCAGAGAGAAAATGGAATGTCGTACCTTCTGATATGTCGTTAAGAACAGTAAATCCAATTCGTAGAATAATTGATAGAATGAAGTTGGATCCAAATCCAGAACTTCCACTTATTTCTTTATCAATAGGTGTATATTATATTATTGTATTTTTAAATATGTGTATATATATATATATATTTATTTATTATTTATATATATATATATTATATAAATATATATACATATATTTAAATATATATATATATATATATATATATATATATATATATATATATATATATATATATATATATATATATATATATATATATATATATATTTAAACAATTTTAAATGTATTCTACAAAAAAATAGCTCAATGTTCTTAAAAGAACAGAGCTAATTGATTTTCTACTAATTTATAATTGCTCTCTCTCTCTCTCTCTCTCTCTCTCTCTCTCTCTCTCTCTCTCTCTCTCTCTCTCTCTCTCTCTATATATATATATATATATATATATATATATATATATATATATATATATATATATATATATATATATATATATATATATATATATATATATATATATATATATATATATATATATATATATATACATATATATATATATATATATATATATATACATATATATATATATATATACATATATATATATATATATATATATATATACATATATATATATATATATATATATATATATATATATATATATATATATATATATATATATATATATATATATATATATATATATATATATATTTATATATATTTATATATATATATATATATATATATATATATATATATATATATTTATATATATTTATATATATATATATATATATATATATATATATATATTATTATCAGCACATATATTAAAAGTATTTTTTTATAAGTAAGAATGGAAAGTACTTAAGAATAACAGTTGTATGTAATATAGCACTTGTGTAACTTGTTTAATAGTAATTAATCAAGGTGTGATTTGTTTTAAGGTAATATCTGATTTGAACCAATTACTAAATTTGTTTGCTATTAAATATACCGATTAGCATCTAGATAATTCAGAAACACAACAGCACAGAAAAACAAATTAAGCATAGTAATTACACCAACAATGCAACATAGCTACACTTACACTTCTTGCAAACAAAGCTGAACATTAGTGGAATTTATATTCAGTTTAAGTTAAAAAAGAAAACTGTTATTGTTTGACACTTTAGGAAATAAATATGGCTTCATTTTAATGGTTTATCTTGAAATTGTCTTGCTGATGTGACTCCTTTTTAAGCTAACTTTATTTCTTTCTGTTTTTTTAAGTATTAAAGTACTTGGTAAGGCGTTGAGTAAGCACTTACTTGAGTTAAGTTCATGCACAGTTCTCTTAAGCATATTTAATCATGTAGCAACAGCTTGTTCAGATTTATTCTTTTCCATTTATAGTTGTACTTAAGCACATTTAGTAAATGTAGCCATACCCTAAAATAAAATGAATAAAGTACACATGATTTTAATGTTTTTAGAGTATATAAGTTGTTTTTCTTATGGTTAACAACTATATATTCAAGAGTTGATTGTTTAGTGTGTTGCCAGCAAGCAAGTTTTGCATTTGTAAGAAACTATCAATAATGCATTGCTGGTGTAACTGCTACGCTCAATTTGTTTTTCTGATTGTAAAAAGTAAAATCTTTTTTACCATAACTGTATGTAATACTTTCAAAATATTTTTTATATTTTTAGGTGATCCTACAGTTTTTGGAAATCTTATTCCCCATGAAAATATACTAGTTGCTGTAGAAGAAAGTTTGAGAACACATAAGCATAACGGATATGCTCCTGCTATTGGTTAGTTTGTTGAATTAATTAAGTTAACTCTTAAAACAATAAAGTACTGTGTACCAGTACATACTACATGTATGGCACTGTACTTTGTGCTTTTTTTTTTTTTTTTTTTTTTTTGCTTTTGATTTTATTGTACAAAGGCCAATAGAATCAAAAGCAAAAAAACAAGAGATTAATTTATAATATTTAGAAACAATAAGCAATAAATTTGCTAATTTCTGATTTTCCTCTTATTCTAATTAGTAATTGAACAGTACCCAGTGCTTTGGCTAAATTTAGCCTATTTTATCAAAACAGACCCCATTTTCCCCAATTTAAGTTGAATCAAATTGACAGGGTTTACTAGCAAGACTAAATTTTTGTTTTTGGTTTTAAGACAATATAACTGAAAAATATTTTCATAAAAGTTTTTAAAAGTTATATTTTTAAATGAAAGAAATTTTTCACAATCGCAATCTAATTATGATTGCAATCTAATCACGATTGCAATCTAATCACAATTGCAATCTAATCACGATCACAATCTAATTACGATCGCAATCTAATCACAATCGCAATCTAATCACAATCGCAATCTAATCACAATCGCAATCTGCACTTTTGAATAATCTTAAAATTCATTTATGAAATATTTTAATGATAATTTAAACCATAAGTTAAGACGTAAAAATAAATGGTTAAAATAAAATAAATGGTTAATTATAAACTTAAAATAACTATAACTTTTTATTTATTATTATCTAACTATAATATAAAATAATATAATATAAAATATATCATAAAGTTATATTTTTATAGTTTTTTGCTTTTGTGGAAATCATCTGAAATACATAAAAGTTAAACAATCTATCTCAATCAAAATATTGATTGCATGTTGTGTATTGATCAATTCCATGTATTGATGATGTGTGTTGACCAATGGTGTGTATTGATCATGTGTAATGACCAATTGCAAACATTGATTATGTAATGACAAATATTGTGTATTGATGATGTGTAATAACTGATGGCGTGTATTGATGTGCAATATGATGGCGTGTATTGATGTGCAATATGATGGCGTGTATTGATGTGCAATAAGTCATGGTTTGTATTGATGATGTAGTGTAAATTGATTAAATATTGTTATCTTTTAAAGTACGATTTCTTTGTGGCAGTTTGGTGCTTGGAGTAACTAATAATTTTTATCTAATAATGTTAATCTTCTTATATTGATGAATGGTATCATTCCTAATGTGTTTTCATCTTTATTTTTATAAGATTACCTCTTCTTTTTTTTTTCACCTCTTTTTCATTCTTTTAATTTTCTTACTCCTGATTCCTTTTATTTTTGTTAATCTTTTTCCATCCTTGCATATTTTTATTATTCTTTTTCCATCCTTGCATTCTGTTTTTACTTGGGTGATGGGTCTTCTAATGACTGCATTTTTCTTTAGGACAAGGTTTAAAATGCATTGAAAATACAATCTGTTCTTGTAGCCAAGCTTGAGTCTGTGTTATATTTTTATGAAGTTGTTGTTTTTTAATCACTATCATAATGACAGCTTTAGTGAACAGTTGTTTCTTGTTTCACCTACTAATAGTTCTTTGTGCCTTACAGAGCTCTTTGCATTTCTGTATATACTTCTTTAAAGCTTTTTTTGTATTTTTTCATATACTTTCCATATTTCTTTTTGAGTCAATTTTAACTTTTATTTGATTTTTCTTCTGAAAATGGTTACTTCATGTTCTTTCAATAATTATTATTGAACTCTTTTTAAACTTCATGCCAATTTTTTTTATTATTGCTAATTGTTTTGTTTTTTTAAGAAATTTAAGAAATTTAATCTAATTTGTTTTTCAGTTAAAAGTAGATAAAGTTCAGTTAAAAGTTTTAAACTAATGTTAAATTAACTAATAAAAAATAATTAATGTTGTTATATCTATTGTTTTCAGAAAATAGTTTATTTTTTTTTTACAATTTTTTTTGCATTTTCTCAGGAGAGTTAGCTGCAAGAAAGGCAATTGCTGAGTTTATGTCAACCCCTAAAGCACATCTCACTGAAAAGGTATTTTGAGAAATGGCTGTTCAAAATGAAATTTTATGGAAAATTTTTAGTAAAATGAATATGAAAACTGTTTTATCATGTCTAAAATATGACAAGTGAAATAAATGATAATTTGAGTAAAACAGTGTTGTTGTCAACAAGATTGCTTAAATATACGCGCAACAAGTTTTAAAATGTGTTTCTTAAAAGATTTTGTTTGTTTTACTTAAAGTTTATGTTTTGGTAATACTTTTGTTATGTTTTAGTTTTTAAGCTTTTTTCAAAATCAAATTTTAATGTTTTTTTCAAAATCAGATTTTAATGTTTTGAATATATTTGATTCAATAAATTGTGTAGTTTTATTAACTTAGAAATAAGTTTTGTTATATAAATTTTTGATTAAATGAAAATATATTTAAAGTTGATCACTAAAATTAGAATATATTTGAATGCAAAACAAAAACAATTGTCTAGAAGTACAACTTTTTTTTTCCATGATACTTTTAAAGTTGTTAAAGAGAGGAAATAAAAAATAATAGCAACTTTTCCCTCGTCCACGACAAGGTGAAAATCTTCTTACTCCTAATAACAAAGATTTTTTGTTCAACAAACATTTCCATTCAAGTCATTAAACATTAATCAAGACATTACACTTTTACTACTAATATATTTTTTAATGTTCTTGTTTTCCTGCTGATCTGTTGTTCTTGTTGTCCTGCTTAACTTAACAGTTTCACTATAAGATTAATAGAAATTGTGGCCATTATTTTAAAATGCGAAAATTCTCCGTAATACTCATATGGTGTATCTTGGAAGAACAACATTCTTTGTTTCCAGTAACTTCAGAAGTAAACACAAGGTTCCGCTGTAGAAATCATCTTATATCCCAAATTGCTTTAGGTATTAAATAAAAAATGTAAAAAGTTTTTTTGTAATAAAATAATTTAAAATATTTATGCGTCTTCTCAAGTTGTGATGACGGTTGATCTCAGTTGGTACTTGTGATAACAAAACTGGGGCTGTGATCTTTGTAATAAAAGTTAAAAACTGGCAACGTTATCATTTTACTAACAATTAAAAACTGGCGCTGTGATTGTTGTAATAGAATTTAAACAAGTTGAAGAAACAATAGTCAATGCTTTTAAGAGTTTTGCAAAAAAATTTGCATTGTCATTTTTTTTTAATGATAACTACCTGATATTTATTGTGTAGAGAATAAAGTAAATTGGTTGATACTTTATTAACTCTAATAAAGTATTAACCAATAACTTCATTTATAAAAAGTTGTTTATAGTTTAAAAATATGTTTACAAAAATTTAGTTTACTTACAATAAAAAAATAGTTTAAATATGACTGGAATTTGGAAGGTACTCTTATTAATTGTCTGGTTAATTTAAACTAAATTAATTTTTTTTTTTTTTAAAATTTTAATTTACTCTCATCAAGGCTGCAAACAACCCTATTAATTTGTGAGTTACTAGAAACTAAAGAATAGAGTTAAAAAGCAAGGAAACAGTCAACAGAAGACTTACATAGTTGTAAGTTGTATGAGTCAGGAAAACATGAAGATGGGTTCAAAAGGGTTGAAGTGTGATGAAAAAAAACTATACAAATAAAAGTTTTTAGAACATGCAGAAACAGATATGGAAAAGATGTGACTTTGCTGAATGATGAATCAGACAAGAATGAGTTTTAGTTGATTGAACTAGAGATAATTTTGCCCTTGTTTAGAAAAGAAAGAGTATCATTAGCAGGCTTGGACATGAATGGTGTGCGATCAAACAATATTGCTGACCACACAATTTTTTTTTTTTTTATGACAATTTGACCACGGCTGTTTTGATGATTTAAACATTTTAGAAATACGCTGAAAAAAGAAACACTAAGCTGAACTTTAACTAGAAAAAAAAATAAAAGAAAAAGAAAACAAATCTTTTCAAAAAAGAAAATATATAAGCTTTAAAATAAAACTCAAAAAACTCAAACTTGAAGTGAAAATTACTTTTTGTTACGTTTTTAATCATGTTTGAAATAAATGACTTTAAAGCTTATCTTTTGAATAAATTAAATGTTTTATTAAAGTTATGGATAATGCTTTTACAAATTACTTTTTATGATTGTTTAATAAATGAACAAATTTTATTTAAATTATTGATAAGTAAAATTAAATTATTAAAAAGAAAAAATTATAGAGTAAAACAGGGTAAAATGAAACAGCAGGTATAATGAAATAGTTATGACAATGTTTATTCTTTTGCTCTTAATTAATTATTGAATAATCTTTTTGCAAATATTTTTCGATGTTGTAGAGAATATTTTTTTGAGTTAAGATGATGTCAAATTTTATTTTTAATAAAAAAAATATTGTTACAAATTGTTTAAGAATGCGTAATAAGATTTTTTTTTATTATTTTGAAAAATGAACTTAAAACTTTCAGAAATTAAATTTGATATCATTGAAACTAAAAGGTTTTATGGTACATTTTTTTACACTAATCAAGAATCTTTTTTCAAAATTAAATTTGCTATTTAGGAAAAAAATGAGAATAAAACAGAAAAGAAGAATTGTGGGGTTAAATGAAATACGCTAATAATAAGTGAAGCAGTTCTTAAATGCGGCTTTTTTAAAAAATTAATTCTCAAGTGACCAATAAATCTCCAGCTATAAATTTTTTTATAAATTTCAATGAACGAATTTTTCTATCTGAATTTAAGCGAATGACTTTTACTGACTCTAATAAATGAATGAAATACGCTAGTTGCTCTCTTGTTAAATGTGGGTTTTATTAATTAATTAAGTCTCAAGTGACCAAGCAATCTCTATAAATTTTGTGCATAAATTTCAAACCGATTATTATTAAATCTATTTTAATATAAAACATGCCTGGAAACAACTTGCATGAAAAGAAAAAAGAAAAACTATATTCCGATTTGAAACACCATCATCTGAACCTGAGCATTCATCATCTCAACAACCAGAATCTATATTAGTACCATCACCAATGCTAGCACCAGGAACTGCACTATCTCAGCCACTGCCATCTGAATCTACACCAACAACATCTAGCATCAGCATATGTCACATAGCATCAGCTCCAAAGTCACCTCAAAAGTCACCCTGTCTGCAAACAACCTTCAATATTGTAGTAACTCCATTTATTCGAAAAGAAATTCAAACAGAAGTTGAAAAACAACTGCAATCAGCCCAATCGCTTGCAGCAGCTTGGCAACAAATGTTTTGTATTCAATAAATTGACACAAAAAAAAAAGAAAAAATATGTAGATGTGCCAAGATTTGAAGGGGAGTGTCTCAACAAACCTGAAATACTTGAAAGGTTGAAAGATGCTGAGAGCAAAAAGCAGCAAAGCAAGCTAAAAAACAACGTAAGGTTAGGTTTAATGATGAACAGCAAATAAACCAAACAACAAGTCCAGCCAAAATATTAGCTGCAAACCAATTCAAGTGTAAAAAGTGCCGACAAGTTTTAGGCGAAGCTTCAGCAGGTCAAAATAGTGAATGGTACCAGTGTGAAAATTCAAGTTGCAAGGTTTGGCTATGTCAAACATGCATACTAAAGCGATACATAAAAGGTTTTGAGCTTTTATTGCACTTAATTTTTTCTAATTCCAAGGGCTGATGATAAAATAAGTGTTGAGACAGAAATGATTTTTTCTGCTGCTGGCATAATTTGTAGCAAAATAATCTCCACTATGGATTATATATTTAACTTGATATGTTTGAATGATTGTTCACTAGATATGATTGTTCACTAGATATGATTGTTCACTAGATATGATTGTTCACTAGATATGTTATTTAAGATCTTTATTTTCCTAATTTAATAAATAAAATAAATAATAATGACTTTTTCTTGATAATAGTAAATTTAGTTTTAGTGTTAAGAAACTTTTATTAAAGTAAAATAATTTCTAAAAAATTTCACACTTATTTTTTACTTAATTTCACAAAACAAAACACTTTATAATTGCTGTATGAGATTATTAATAGTAGAAATTTAATACATTAAAAATCAAACTTTTTTTGTTTGTTGTTAAGATACATTACTTTGTTAGTTTTTCAACTTGTTTTTTAAGTTTTTTTTTTTTAATTTTGAACTTGTTTCTTTGTGCTGCAAAGTGTTTTCGCAGCAAAAAGGTTAAGAGAAAGTATATTTCTAACTGTATAACAGAAGTTATACAGTTAGAAATATACTGTGTTGACTGTGTTGTGGAGAGATAATTAAAGTGGAGTAATAATTAAAAAAAACTTTCTGTAAACAAATAATTATTTTAGGATATTATTATTACAAGTGCGTGCTCTGGTGCAATTGAAATATGCTTGAGTACCCTAGCTAATCCTGGTGATAGCATTCTCATTCCTAAACCTGGGTTTTCTTTATACAAAACTCTTGGATATTCAAATGGTTTAGAAGTAAAACAATATAATTTGTTGGTGAGTTTTTTATAATGACAACTATCTTTTTTCTTTTTTAACAAAAAGTAAAAAATATTTTTTTTTTATATGCAGCCAGATTGTGATTGGGAGGTTGATCTTGCACATCTGGAATCACTTATTGATGAAACTACAAAATGTATTATTGTTAATAATCCTTCTAACCCATGTGGGTCAGTTTATTCAAAAGAACATCTGGAAGCAATTATTTCTGGTAATTGAAAGTATTTTATAGACAATTTAATATTTAATTATTTTAAAGTTTTTGTTGTTGTTTTTGCTAAATTTAGATGTAAAATATTATCCGAACAACCAAATAAAGTTTTTTCTAAAGTACTTTTTAAAATTCTAAGAAGTAAAATAAGTTCAATTTTTAACCGATTTGGAATTTTCAAATTTAGTGATTTCAAAATTTTGTATTTTGCAACTTGGTCAGTAATTTCCTGATCAATACATCCCTTGTACGTATTTATATATTTTTAACCCTCCCCCTCCCCCAATCTCTGCATTTGTACTTTATGAAAGACATCTTATAAAAAACTTAATATATGATTGATTTTTCACAGTGGCCGAGAAACACAAAGTTTTGATTCTAGCAGATGAAATATATGCATACTCAGTAAGTCTTTCCTGATTGTTATTATTTTTTCCTGATTGTTATTATTTTTTCCTGTTTTCATTGTTAAATAAATTTTGTTTGTTACATGAAACATTTTTGGTTATTATTGTTGTTTTAGGTATTTCCTGGAGACACATTTTATCCAATGGCAAGTCTCACAGAGACTGTGCCCATTTTATCATGTTGTGCTATCTCTAAACGGTAGATTTTGTTTTAATATTTCGAGATGGTAATGGTTACAATCAGGGTTGGCAAAACCCTGTTGTTGTTTTTTTTTAAAAAAACCAGGCCCAGTGGGTTTTTTTTGGGTACTTTTGGGTTTTATTGGGTGAGTTTGGGTTTTTTTGGGTTTTAGTTTTACTTCATATCTGTTAAAAAAAAAAAAAAAATTTTTAAATGATATTGAAAATTAGTTTAGTTTTCTACTTTATATTTATTTAAAATATATTTTATATAATGCAGCGCTCGAAATAATTATTTGAAGGTTGCCGATCAACACTGATCGGCAGAAATAATAAAAGTAATAAAGTAGACGATCAAAAAATTATCCAGACGATCAAATTTTTCTTAACTTTTTCTTTAGCGTACAGTTTAGGTGACGTCAAATTGTTTGTTTTACTGCTATCAACCTACAATAAATTGCGTTTTTAGAAAATTCTATTGATTTTGTGCAATTTTCTAAAATATCTTTACCTTAATGCCTTTTAGTACTAAAAAAATCTATTTTTAGAACACTAGCTTGAACGCTATTGGTTTTTGAATACAACAGCGTACGTCCGCGTTATCGTTTATAGTTTTTACTTTTAAACTTAGCTCTTAATTCACTTTTTCACTTCAACGCGTTGCCTTTTAAGTGACGTAAAAATATTTTTTGTGACTCGAACAATTGTTTTTTATATAATGATCGTTTTTTAACAAAAATGGCACAATAAAAAGGTAATGAACTTTTTAACCAATATTTGATTATTAAAACTTTTTTAAACTAAAAAAAGGTGAGAAAAAATAATCTCGTTTTGCGCTATTCATTACTTGATTCGTTAGATGATGAATCCAAGTCGATTAATGTTTTTAATCCTGCTTTTTTTGCTCTTTTGGAATAGCATTTTCTTACTGATTGTTTTGGCCTTCGCACGGCATCATTGGTCCATAACTCAATAGCAGAACTTAAATCAAATAAATTGGAATCTTTTTCATCGAAACTTACTCGAATTAAATTTTCTAAACGTTTCTCTTTCAGAGAGTTTCTTGTATCCGTTTTTACTCTATTCATTAGTGAAAAAAGGCGTTCAACTTTCGCATTAGAAACAGGCAAAGTAAATAATAGTTCGACAATAAGTAAAACCGGAACCCATTCATTTTTCATTGAGCTAGAAAAAATTTGATGCCATAACTTACAATAACCGGTATTATGTGGTGCTAAATATTTTACAGTGTAGTTTACCAAGCTATGCCAAGCATCCAAAACATCATTTACAGTTCCTGCAAAACCAGCATGTCGCAACGGCGCTCTATAAAAGTCAAAAAGATTTTCTATTCCTTCATCCAGGAATGTTTCATTTTCAATACTTTGAAACCAACCTTCTGTATTTAAAACTTTTGTACCATACATATCAGTAATAGTATCGCTTGTTTCCAAACGCTCTATGATTGAATTTGTTACCAACTCGATATGAATAGATTTAGACTTTTTTACTAAATGTTTAGCATTTACAAAGTCGTTAAGTGCAACACCCTGGAAATAAAACTTTTCTTCTTTTTCAGTCACTTTGGCGAGAAAACGTTTTACTGTTGGCAAATTAATAAACTTTGTTTTTTGAATACGATTTAAATGGCTTTTAGCTTGTTGAACAAACCCTGATGAAGCCAACACATCTATCTCATCACTTTGAAAACATTTTGACAACATCTTTGCTGGTGCTAAAATCTCAATAAACAACGCGATATAAAGGGGCATTCTAGCATAAATCCACTTTTTGTGGTATCCTTTAAACTTAGCTCTTTCAGCATTGGTAAATGTTATATCTTCAGTCATATTTTCCAGATGTGTTAAATAAACACCGTATTTATCTAAAATCATTTCTAAAGCCTGAACTTTATGTGAAATCCATCGTGTACCTAAAAATGAAACAAGATTATACAATTTATAATTTACTTTATACTTGCAAAAACTAAAAATATAGGCGTCACGCATAACTGTAATGGTAATAAATATAAGATAAATAAATCAAGCAAAAAAAAGAAAATACCGGAGGCTTTCTTAGGTCGGTAACCACCAATGTTATATTCATCATCTTCTAAAATAGAAACGAGTTCACCCAACTGTCTTAACTTTTTGGGGGATTTTTTGTAAATGTAATGCATTTTTAAAATCATGTAATCAACGTCATTGAATGAGGCTGTTTTTCCTAATTTTTCTTTTAATGATAACTCGAGACGATGTGCTACACACCAGCCAAACGTGATCCAGGGGACTTCAGCCTTGAGCAACATTTTAATGCCCGACTTGCTCCCTCTGTTAACGGATGCGCCATCCGCACCAAATCCAACTAGTTTTTTATTGCAATTTACGACTTCTATATTCTCGAGTGACTTTTTTATGGTGTTGAAAACTCCGTGCGAAGTTCCATACTCAACATCCAAAAGTGAAAGAAAATCACATTCAACGTTTACTTCAGATTTTCCAGTTGGAGCCGGATTAAAAGTAATGGCAAATATAGCTTCTTTTTCCTTAATTGAAACGTCGTTAGAATCGTCAATTAAAATAGTGAAAAAATTTCGAGTATTTAGTTTATTTTTGAGATCTATCGCTAAACTAAGAGCAATGTAGTCAATAAATACTCCGCATGTGTTTTCGTTTTTATAAGCCTGACCAAAAACTACACCATGTTTCTCTTCTAATTGAATTATTTTTGGGTATAGGCAAAGCGATAGTTCTTCTTTTGCTATAAAGTAAGCGACCTCAAATTTTTTTTTTGTCAAATCAAAGTCTTTACTATTCATGGTTTGAATACCGGATAAAATGTCTGTTTGCCGCATTTCCTGCTGCAACTCGTTTAGTTTTTCAATTCGATCGCACAAATTCATGCCTCTCGTTTTCATAAAAATCTCAAAAGCCTTCTGATGAGACATTCCCTCTGCATGCGTGATTGCAGAACTATGTTGCAATCGACTACATCCTTTTCCACAGCTCCATTCCGGAGTGTAGCCTTTTAAAATCTGAATTTGCGATGCATATTCTCGGCATACTTTCCATTTTAGCGCTGTAACTATTCCGTCAACGCTTTCAATTTCAAGCCAATCATTAGCATTATATTTTGCAAGCGTAGAGACTTTCCATTTATTAGCTGTTTGTAATTGTAGCTTTCTGTCATAAGTTTTTAGTTTTTTCTCAGCGGGTGTTCCAGATACTAAGTTTCTTTTAAAAGAAATAAATGTTTGACGCTTTTTGTATGCTTCCATTTTAAGATTATTTTTAAACTTACCATTTAATTTCTAAAACTTTAAAACAAAAACTGTTTCTTTCAATTTAAATTGTCACGATGATTTCAAAATGAAGTTTTCCAACGAATCACAAACTTGCTTTGTTCATTATTTTTCAGACAATCAAAGAAATGTTAACCTTTCTAGTTATTAATTCATTTTATTCAAATGAATTCGCTTTATTAAAATAATTCTTTTACAGTTAATAAACTTTCGAACTGAAGACTGTTACAAAATCAACGCTATGTTTATTTCACCAATCAAAAGCATTATTAAGTTATTTATAATAAACTTCGCGCTTCTTTTTAATTACCATTTTTAATGTGAACTAAAAGATTATTATTGGTCTAAAAACTTGTTTAATTCAGCAATAATGAACATATTTTTTTTAATGCTAATTTAATAAATTTAAGATTCTTTTTTAAATGTTAAAAATTTTTTTATTCTAATGTGTGACATGCAATGTAGACGATCAAATTTGATCGGCCATAATTAATTTTGGGAGTTCAAAATTTCATTTTTTCCAAAAGTCGACGATCATTGATCGTTGATCGGCCGTTATTTCGAGCGCTGATAATGTTATTTAATATCTTATAACAAAAATTTTTCAAACCATTTTGAAAAAGATTTTTAAATATAATTTAAAACTGTAATAGAAAAAAAAATTTCATGTTTTTATGTATTGATTTATTTTAGATTTAAAAGTATTATTTTATATAATTAAAAATGAGAAATGAGAAAAAGAAGGCTGAAGAATGGGAGGAAGTATCTGTTTTTAATTAAACTTCAAATTTGAACTTGAAATCCAAATGAACTAACTTGTTTCTCCATGCGCAACCTTGTTTATAAAAGTTCGTGTTAAGGAGTTAAAAAATTGAGAGAGGGCTGTAATCACAATAAAGTAACCTCCTCTACTGTAGTGGCCTTATCAGGCCATTACTACTCAATTAAATTTATCTTGGGAGGTGAATAACATAAAAGATAATAAAAATCTCAACCTATAAAAATATTTGAATAAAAATTGTGATAATGTACTTCAAAATATTGATTCAAATATTAGTAAATCTGCTCTGAGAGCTTTTATTGTTTGTTATAATAGTTAATAATAATACTTAATAATAATTTAGTAATAATAATAAATTATAGTTAATAATAATTTAATAGTAGTTAATAGTTAATTTAGTTTATAATATTATAGTTATAATGTTAATGTTGGTTATAATGTTTTTTTTTTTTTTCTTTTTATTTGCATTCACTCCCAACAAGGCTGCAAGCAACCACTATTAAGTTGGGAGTTACTAGGAAAAAAAAAGAACAAGAGTTATAGAGCAAGGAAAGGGTTGACAGAAGACTTAAAAAGTTGAAGGTTGTATGAGTCAGGAAAACATGAAGATGGGAGAGAGTTCCAAAGGATTGAAGTGCGGGGAAAAAAACTAGATGAATAAAAGTTTTTAGAGCATGCAGGGACCGATACAGTAAACGAATGAGACATAGCTGAATGACAAGTAAAACGAGAATGAATTTTAGTTGATGGAACTAGAGATGATAACTCCTTTGAGCAGTGACCATAGTAGTATCTGTAGAAAAGAGAAAGAGATGCAACTTTACGACGATGGGAAAGAGGTTCAAGCTTAGCAGATAGTCCAGGTCCAACAACATTTACAATGCGTTTTTGGACCTTGTCAAGAAGAGAAAGTGAATCGTTAGAAGAACCAGCCCAAATATGACAACAGTATTCCATACAGGGATGAATAAGAGATTTGTAGAGGTAGAGAATGGAATCAGAAGTAAGGAAATGCCGAGCACGATAAAGAGAAGCAACCTTAGCAGAAGCTAATTTAGCAATTGATTGTATATATGGTTTCCATGAAAGGTCAGTAGTAAGCGATAATCCAAGAAGATGTAAAGAGGAGGACTCAGTAAGAGGATTGCCATTCATTAATATAGGAATGTTGACCATATTACGGTAGTTGTTTGCAGTAAGCAATTGGGTTTTTTTAGAGTTGAAATTCACAAGCCACTGTGAACCCCAATCTATTACTGAAGTGAGATCAGATTCAAGATCAGCTGCTTGTTCTAGGCGATTGAAAAGAGAAGACTTTTTGTCAAGACAGGAGTATAAAGTTGAGTCATCAGCAAAAAGAGCTACTTTAGATGAAAGGTTGTCAGGAAGATTGTTTATGTAGATAAGAAACAAAACAGGGCCCAGGATGGAACCTTGGGGAACCCCAGAAGTTACTGGAAATAAAGAAGAGTGTTGGCCTTCAAGGATGACTTTAATAAATCGGTTAGAAAGAAATGATTTGATAATCTCAAAAACTTTCCCAGAAACACCATATGAAGCAAGCTTATGGAGAAGACCAGCATGCCAAACTTTGTCGAAAGCTTTAGATATGTCGAGAGCAATAGCCCTAGCCTCACCGCCTCCATCTAATGCGCGATAAAATCTTTTAGTTACAGCAGTTAGCAAGTCGGCCGTAGAGCGAGAGGATCGAAAGCCGTATTGATTGTCTGACAGCAGTTTATTTGACTCAAGATGAGATGTGAGGAATTTGTTGATCAAAGACTCAAAGACCTTGCTAATAACAGAAAGAAGACTGATCGGACAATAATTGGAGGGGTCAGAATTTTCTCCAGAGTTTTTGAATATTGGAACCACAGATGCCATTTTCCAACAAGCAGGAAAACAAGACTCAGTCAAACACTTGTTAAATAGTTTAGAGAGAATTGAAGAAAGTTCTGGAGAACAATTCTGCAAGACTGTGACAGGAATGTTGTCTGGACCACAAGCTGTAGACGAGTTTAATTGAGATATGACTTTAGCAACAGAAGCCGGAGTGATTTGAATGTCTAACAATGGGTCAACCTGTTTGACTGGAATGGAAGGAAGAGAATGTTCATAAGATTCAAGAGTGGAATTAGAAGAAAAGTTCTTTGCAAATAGTTCTGCCTTATCCTTGGGAGAGGTAATAAGATCAGTCCCATGAATGAGAGATGGAATGTTAGATCTACCCTTGTTAACAATGCTGTTGAAGATTTTCCAAAAGTCTTTAGAGCCTAACTTCTGCGATAAGATGCGAGATTTAGTGAACTGAGAATAATGGAGTTTAGCATCAGAAAGCATTTTTTTACATCGAATTCTTGCAATAATAAATAGCCGTTTGTTCTCAAGATAGTTATTCTTTTGAAAAAGATGAAAAAAATGATTACGATTGGATATAGCAGCCGCACAAGAAGGAGAAAACCATGGAGTAGAATGAGGCTTGACTTGAAACCGACGAGAAGGTCAGGTCAGGAGTATGGTCTTCATGATCATCCTGCTACTGGTAACATGTAACTCAGTGCAACCTGTTCCATGTTCTGCTGCCTTGCAGGATTTGCTATCTAAGCAAAGGCTGGAAGGAGTGTTCTTCCTGTCATCAGTACTATCTTATATCAGTCATGCCTATAGTAATTTTTTTTTTTTTTTTTTTTTCCCCCATATAGTTGGAGGTGCCTTAGTTACTGTATTAGCTCACCTGTAATCTACGTTATATGTATGTTTGTGTTCTATCTGAACCTCTGGCGCGGTGTTCGCTCACCAGTAAGTTACTTTATGTTCTTTATGTATGTCTGTGTTCTGTCTGAACCTCTGGCTCGGTGTTCGCTCACCCGTAAGTTACTTTATGTTCTTTATGTATGTCTGTGTTCTGTCTGAACCTCTGGCTCGGTGTTCGCTCACCCGTAAGTTACTTTATGTTTATGTTTTTTATGTTTTTTTATGTATGTTTGTGTTCTGTCTGAACCTCTGGCGCGGTGTTCGCTCACCCGTAAGTTACTTTATGTTCTTTATGTATGTCTGTGTTCTGTCTGAACCTCTGGCGCGGTGTTGACTCACCCGTAAGTTGATTTATGTTTGTTTGTGTTCTGTTTATTACTCTAATGCAGCATGAGCTCAGTAACTAACTACTTACTCCAACTACAAAACCTACACTCACCTTAGACTCCTGTATTTTGTTAGATGCAGTGTTTTTCCTAATGCACTTCCAAAATTGTCATGCCTGGTTTTCTCAAAGTACTGTTGCGGGAAGTAACTCCTTTTAACTACTCCAGGTCAGGTCAGGATAATCGAGATCAATCTTGCTACTGGTATCACGTAACCCAGTACCACCTGCCACAAGCCCTGCTGCCTTGCAGAGTGTGCTCTTCTTATGCAAAGGCTAGGAGAAATAAACTCCGACTAAAAATTCCCCTGCCTTGGGGCTCTTGGTTGAGTAAAGGCTAGAGATGGTGTCTCGATAAAAACACTCATCTTGGGCAGATGTTAACTGCATCCTGCTACTGTCTTGTAGAAGGCCTCCTAGGCAAAGACTTTAGGGGTAAACAGAAAAATTCTGCTAACCAGCCTTGAACCCCTTCTTCATCTATAAGGCTGGCGTAGATGTAACCTGTGTTACATTGTTTCCTGCCTAGGATGATGAATGCTGGATCTCCTTGACTCTACTCATAGAATTTTGCTTATGCCTCCTTGATAATGGCTATGCAACTCTTCCTGTTATCTCCATATGAGGGTACAGCTCTAAAACTCAATTTAATGGTTCTGAGGCCGGCTGGTAGTAAGGTTTCCCGAACTCTGTGGTAGCTCTCAGAGAGGCTGATTCCATCAACAGCTGCAAAATATCAGAGTATTAACAGTGCCATGTTGCGCATGGATGGTGTCCCTGTTAATGCTTTTGGTGTGCATTGTCAAGGCCACATAAGGAGCCCTATGTCACGGCTTAGGGTTAATTAACAGGACTGAGACAACTGCATAGCTCATTGATTAGGAGGCTGTGCTCTATCTATGAATGAGTCTAGTTCTCATTAAACCCAAATCATGACCAAAGTAACCAAAAATTTAAAACCTAAAAAACCATCCCCACCACCTAAATATTTTAATATATCTTTTACAAATATTCGCGGTCTACGAAGCAACTTTCCATCAGTTGAGTCTTACCTCCTGCAAAATTCACCACACTTGCTTGCACTCAGTGAAACAAATTTAAGTTCTGCAATTCCTTCTTCAGATGTCAGTGTTGATGGGTACTATCCTGTGATTCGTAAAGACTCCAATAGTCACATGCTAGGTTTAGGGGTATACATACGCATTAATTCCCCTAATTGTCGTGAAATCAGGTTCGAATCCTTTGACCATTCTTTTATGTGCTTTCGCCTAGCACCTCTTCACTCTATCACCTTTCTCTTTGTTCTTTATTGTTCTCCTTCTTCCTATGATTGCACTCTTTTAGATGTTATCTCTGATCAAATTGACCATGCCTTCTCTCTTTACCCCTCTGCCAATATTGTTGTTGTTGGTGATTTTAATGCCCATCACACTGAATGGCTTGGCTCTAACACCACTGATTCTGCTGGCACTAAAGCCTTTAACTTCTGCGTTTCTCAATCTCTTACTCAGATAGTTAACTTTGTGACTCGTTTTCCTGACAACCCTAATCATTTACCTTCACTCCTTGACTTATGTCTTGTCTCTGACCCTAGCTTATGTTCAGTTTCTCCCTTTTCTCCCTTAGGTGGTTCTGACCATGCAATGATCTCTATAAATCTTTCTTCTCGTACTTCTTTTTTGGGCTCACCTTATCATCGCACCACCTACTACTACCCTAAAGCTGACTTGGATTCCTTTCGTGATTTTCTTCGTGATGGTCCTTGGGCTGATGTTTTTTCTCTCTCAGCTGACAAATGCGCCTCCTACGTAACCTCATGGATTCTTAAATATCTTTAATAAAACGCCTCCTACGTAACCTCCTGGATTATTAAATATCTTTAATAAAACCTAGATTACCCGGGTTTTTTTAGGCAGGTTTTATTGGGTGGGTATTTTAATGCCAACCCTGATTATAATGATGATTATGATGATAACTATATTAACCCTGATTATAATGATGATTATGATGATAACTATATTAACCCTGATTATAATGATGATTATGATGATGATGACTATATTGATGATGCAGATCATCAAGTCTTTTTAGTTATAAGAAAAGCACAGTTAGACACAAAGCTATCGAACAGAAAAGCACAGTTAGAAACTTTTTTATGTTGTTTTTTTTATATATAAAACTGTCTAGTTTGTTGATTTAGATTTTTAGTACCTGGATGGCGTTTGGGTTGGATTCAAATTCATGATAGAAATAACATCCTAGAAGAGGTTTATATTATTATTTACCTTACCAAATTTTAATAAGTGTTTTAACTATCATATTGAATAATATATCCTGTAGTTATGTGATATTTTGAATAAATCTTTTTTACTTATAATGCAGTTTAATACTAATTTATTTTATAGTTACGCAGTCGTTTATTTGATATGTCCACACGAATACTTGGTGCAAACACTGTTATTCAAGGTGCTTTGCCCAGGATCTTTTCTGAAACTCCAAAAGAATGGTTTGATTCTAATATGCAATTTATAAAAGTAAGTATTTAAAAAGAATGGTTTGATTCTAATATGCAATTTATAAAAGTATGTATTTAGTAAAAGAAATTAATTTCAGGTGATTTGAATTTCAGGCAAAACTTTGCTTTGAGCTTATGACTTTAAGAATTTGTTGTTGTTGTTTTTTATTTTTGTAAATGGCTCCTAAAAGTATAATTTAAAAATGTTAATAGAATAAAATATCAAAATCTGTTATAGTTGTATGTAAACTTGTAAAGTATTACATAATAAATATTATAAATTTGTTTATAGGATAACGCTACTATTGCCTACAATATTTTATCGAAAGTGAAATATTTGAAACCTGTTCAACCGAGAGGTGCAATGTACATTATGGTAAAAAAAAATTTTTTTTTTTCATAAACATTTAACCTTTAGGTAATAATCTTTTTAGTAAATGTATTTTAAATCACTTTTTTGTTATTTTTTCCATTTGTTTGTTGTTACTTCTAATAATTATTTTGTTTGTTATTTTGTTTATTACTTTAAGAATATTTAAGAAGTATTTTAAAAATATATAAATTTTATTAAAATAAAACATTTTTTTGATTACTGAAAAACTGTTTTTTTAAGGATCAATTTTTCAAAAAAATGGAATTTTAGAAATCAGGAATTAAGGAATTAGGAATTTTTTTAAGTCAAGGAATAGTGAAAACATGATAGTTTACAGGTGAAATAAGTAAACTAGGTAGGAGTTAGGTTTATAGGTTGAATAATTAAACTGAGATTTTTTTCAGTGTTCCTGTTAGAGAAAGTTTTACACTTAAAAATAAGAAGTGGAGAAAAATATTAAAGTCATCAATGTTTTCTTTTTGAATGAATAATTTTATTTGTTTTGTAGAAGGAAAAAAATAATTTTAATTGTTTTATAGAAGAAGAAGAAAGAGGAATTTTATTTGTTTAAAAAAAAATGATTTATAGTTATTTCATAGAAAAATCAAACTTTTTTAATCTATTTTGTATATATTCTAAAAAACTTTTAGTGAATTCTTAAAACGTTATTTAAAGTCTATATTATTCCTAAAAAATTTTATAGATACATGGTAGAGGTCAAAAATAGAACAAAATTTTAACCGAGTTAAGTGCTAAGAATAGTCTTCAAGCTTTTTAAAATAAAATTAAATCGGAAATGCAATTTTACTTGATTGATTTTTTTTTTAATAAGATTTAGTTTAGAATCTAATGGATTATAATATTGCTCAATGTTTTCCTTCTTATTTTTGTTACAATCTTTAGACAATATTGTTAAAATTTAATAGATTGTTACTTTTAAAAACTCACAAATTTATTTGTGAGTTTTTTTATTTTTTTATTTAGTGACAATATATTGCAATGTTACGAATGTGAACTGAATGTGTTGTTGATTGAATTGGCTAAACATTCAAAAGTAAAACAAAACACAGTATATTATTAATCCTAAAGATTTGAAAAATTGTAAATATTTTGTAAATTGGGGTTTAAGTCTGGTGAATTTCCTGGCCATAAAGCTAGAAAATTAATTCCATTTTTTTAGAGCCATTTCTTGACAATATTTACCTGATGGCAAGTTGCGGTGTTATCATAAAAATGTCAAACTTCGAAACCAATCAGACATTATTCTTTAAAATTTCCAATAGTTCCTGAAATTGACAGTTTCACCTTGTTGTAAAAGGTGTAAACCAGCATGACCTGTGGAAAACCAGGTATTACCATGTAATAGTAATTCTTGGTCTTCCACAAGATTTTTCTGGATTGAAACCATCTGTTGATATGATGTGCCTTATGATATTATGAACAGTTGTCTTCCATTAAAAGTTTTACTTGTGCACATTTAACAATTTATGTTGTAGCCATACTCTAAGATGATAATGACTGAATTACACATAAGAGCATATAAGATGTTTTCTAGATACTGAGAGCATATAAGATATTTTCCAATTGTTTGAAAACTTTTTATTTTTTTAATTCAAATTCACTCCCAACAAGGCTGCAAACAAACACTATTAAGTTGGGAGTTACTAGGAGAAAAAAGAATTGAGTTATAAAGCAAGAAAATGGTTTACAGAAGACTTGAAAAGTAGAAGGTTTTATGAGTCAGGAAAACATGAAGATGGGAGAGTTTCAAAGGGTTGATGTGCATGGAAAAAAACAAGACAAATAAAAGTTTTAAAACATGCAGCGACAGTTACAGCAAACAAATGAGACTTTGCTGAATGACGAGTCAAACGAGAATGAGTTTTAGTTGTTGGAACTAGTGATGATAATTCCTTTGAGCAGCAATCATTAGTAGAAAAAAGAAAGAGATGCAACTTTATGACGATAGAAAAGTAATTACCTATAATAGTTGAAGAGCGTCCATTTTTTCAAAAATTTAGTTTTTTCAACATTCAGATTCTTTATTAAAAAAGATACAAATCTAACTATGTTAGTGTGAATAAATATTGGATTGTAACCACAATAAAGCCTTCTCAAATATAGTGGTCCTCTCAGCCTTGGGAAATTGAATAACATTGAAAAAAAAATCACATTGACTTTAAATCGTACCTTATAAAAAAATTTTTAAATTTCGTCAATGTTATAAATATATCTAGTTTTAGAATCTTGTTTATTTTGATAAGATATTTAAGTTAAGCTATTGTTGTGATGTTTGATAGAACTTTTTTATTATTGTTTTATCTATAATTTTTTTCTATAATAATAGGTTGGATTGGATAAGGAACTTTTAGATATTTTTGAAGATGACGTAAACTTTACCCAACGCCTAATAACAGAAAAATCAGTTCATTGTCTTCCCGCATCGGTAAGTGCAATCATTTCAGTAAATAAGCTTCTATGGATACGTGTTTGTGCCTATCTGTGTGCATCTGTTTCTTTTTTTTATTTCACAGCATATTTGTATGTTTTGAAAACGCATTTTTTTTTTTACTGTCCTGATTGTTTTAAGTTTTCAAAATATTGTTTAATTCTTTTGCAAGTTAAAAACATCTATATGACTGCGCAACTGAAACATCTATATGAATGCGCAACTGAAACATCTATATGACTGCGCAACTGAAACATCTATATGACTGCGCAACTAAAACATCTATATGACTGCGCAACTGAAATGTCTATATGAGTGCGCAACTGAAACGTCTATATGACTGGGCAACTGAAACATCTATATGACTGCGCAAGTGAAACATCTATATGGCTGCGCAACTGAAACATCTATATGACTGCGCAACTGAAACATCTATATGACTGCGCAACTGAAACATCTATATGACTGCGCAACTGAAACATCTATATGACTGCGCAACTGAAACATCTATATGACTGCGCAACTGAAACGTCTATATGACTGGGCAACTGAAACATCTATATGACTGCGCATAAAATAATGAATTTGGATTATGAACAATTGAAATGGTGTAGAGTATAAAATAAAAACTACTTGTCAGAGTATAACAAATGTTTTTTTTTTGTTAAAGAATAGACTTTCATATAATTAAAAAAAAAAAAAGGAAAAGAAAAATACCATATTGAATAAACAAAAATATATAATTTCTTAGTTAAATCTTAAAATATTAATTGATTAATTCATAAACATATAGTTTTTAATATTAAATAAAATAGGCATTTATAGTGGTGATCAAACAAACAAAAATTTAACAAACTTGATAATTTTATCAAAAGATATTTTAGTAAGGGCACCCAGAAATTGGAAATTTCCCTAAAATGAAAAATATACACATTTGGCTTGAGAAAACATTTTATGTATGAGTAAACATATATTATATCTTTTTAGGAATTAATCTAATCATATATTACATCTCATTAGGATGTAACCTGGGTTGTGAAGGACAGAAATTACAAATAAAAACAGTTTTCAAGGGTTTTCCCTTTGCATAACAAACACAACATCTTTTGTGGTACCTATCATTATTGCCTGGTTTGCCTTGCAATGGTGGCAACATTGAAGGAAAGAGTCTGCCAGTATGTTGATCCAAATCCTTTCCAGCAGTAACACAAGGGTTGTGAGGAATCTCAAGGGTTAGTAAAAATATCAGCTTGATGTTACTCAGCAAAAGTATGAAATGTGTCTGCCAGTACTGTGTGAATAAATCTTTTGTAAATTTGAAGCGCATTGAAGAATTAGACGAAAAGTTAACTTCTTATATCATTTATAGGATTTTCGAAGGGTCTGAATTCCATGTAATTGCTGGTCGACCCAGTCAACACCAATTTGCATATTGTATGACTTGACCACTGACAGTTTAAGTATAATGTTACCATCTATCAGATTTACTTGTTTCTACCATCACTGGATTGTGATATGTTGACAGCATGTAAACAGCTTTCTGTTTGCTACCCGATTTGTCTTTAATTGCACAATATTTGCAGGCTAACATTTTATTGTCTTCGCTGCGAGTTTTATAAAAATCCCTTTTGCATGTTGCTCATTTAATATCTATTTGGTGTAGTGTTTTCAGTTTGTGCAAATGGTTCCACAAGTATAAGTCTTCTTGGACAAGAAGAAGCTGGCAAGAGAAGGGCTTGTATAGTAATTATCAGTAAAGACTAATGAACTTTATTTAGAAATGGTCCCATTAGCTCTATTGGTATACGTTTGCTTGAAAGCATTGTAGAATTTTTGTCATCGTCATACATCCCAGTACCACAGTACACTAGGAAATCAAAGTATAATACCATCAGCTGTAGCCAACTCATATACCTTAATTCCAAATCATGCTCTTTTTGTCTTCATATATTGATAAAAATGCAATCTGCCCTTAAAAAAAAACAAGGGATTCATCAATACTCGAGTGTTGTCCTTGACTGTAAACTTTTTGACAGTGCTCTCTGATTATGTTGAGGAATGGTCTGACCTGCAATCTGCAATCGATCTCTATTAGGATCATAAAGATTATGATTAGGATCATTATTGTTATTAAAATGAAGAAATTTTAGGATAACCTTGAGATGGTCTCGAGAGGTTTCTGATAAGAATTATTTTCTGGGTGATTGCTCAAAAAATCTTTGCAGTATTGGTTACTTTCAGAAATAATATGTTCTAAAATAGCATTTGTTTAGTAAGTTTCAAAAAAGTCAACTGCCTCCTATTCTAACATTCAGTAGAAAAGAATGGAAAAGTGTCATTAGATTTTTCCTCATTATCATCATCAGCATGCTCCCATGTCATTGTGTTTGATCAGGAACAACACGATGAACGATCTGTTGATGTGATTGACCACTACGAACACGAGCAAACCTATCCCTAATTTGGCCGCGGTTACGTTGTAGATGATAACAAGCACATCTATTTAGAGCAACATGATCAAAATAATGTAAACCACTTACATTTCCACTTCCACCTCTGGTTGTCACATGTTTCTGGGGCTGTGAAACATAAAATTGTTATTGAGTTTCTTAACATTTCTTTTCACTATCAGATTCAATACTTATATTACCAGATGATTCCTCATAAATTTCTTCTTCAGTTTCAGGTTCTACAATCAGGTCACTATCTGCTTTCTCCTCAGATGTATATGATTGCAGAAATTTTGACTTTTATGGGTATTTTTGAGGTAAATCCTCAGACAAGAGTAGTAGTTCTTCATTTACATAATCTAAAATACTTCCAGAATCATTAGAGTGACCAATATCAATGTCGCTATGTCCATCACTATCATCAAACAAAATATCAAGGATCTTATTCATATCAGTATAACTTGTTTTTTAGCCATTTTTCAAAATTAATTTTTAACCGAACTATAAATGCAAATGACAAACGGTTTGAAGTATCAACTTTAGAAATTATTCCTTTTTCAGATATATTTAAAAACAAATTTTATGCACCGTGCTGCGGGTCACTCGTCACAGGAAAGGGTTATGTTTTTTACTAAAGTGAGTGTTAAATTTTTTGAGATCCTTAAACAAATTTTTTTTAATATAGTGTTTTGATTTGCCTGGTTTCTTTCGTATTGTGCTAACTGTTCCCAGCCATCTGTTGGAAGATGCGTGTAATCGGATTGCAGATTTTTGTGAACATCAAGAATATAAGTGAAGTTATTGATGTTTTTATTTTTATTGGAGTATTATGTTGTATATTATTTTTATTATTTTTTGATTGTTATTGTACATAATTTTCCAATAATTTTATCAAATGTCTAATATTATTTTCGTTACATGAAATGTGTCAAATAAATTTACGTAAGTACCATGCTTTCAAGTTTATTTTTCTGTTTAACCAAATTCATTTAATTTTTTTTTTCTCGTTTATTTTTTTTATTATTAGAAATAATACTTGCTGGTGTTTTTATAAAATGCTCTCAGACGAGGACGGACCTAAAGAGGCTCTCAAACGAGGACGGACCTAGAGTCTTAACTTCCAATGTGTCCTAGATAATAAGTAGGGCGAACCTAGAGTCTTAACCTCCATTTATTTATTAGTTAGCCAACATGTTTTAAAACTTATATAGCTTCCTCCAAAACAGCTTTATCACGATGTACGGTTTTTATTATTATATGAAAATGTAATCTAAGCACGTCTCTCACTAAAACTTAAGCAACAAAATATTTGAGTTATTTTAGTTCTTTGAGATATTTCAATTCAAAATATTTGAGATAATTTTAATATTTTAATTTAATAAAAAGTGATAATATTGTCAAAGCTGATAAAATCAGTAAATTTTTTAACATCAAAGTAAAACTTTAAAAAACTTTATAAACGTGCCCAAAACTTCATAATCTTTAAATAGGAAGGGAGGGGAATTAATAAGGCCTAAGAAATCTTATAAACCAAACTCTTGAGATTTTCATTGTGAAGTTTATTCTTTATATACACAAACACAGATATGTGTGTGCTTGTGTTTAAAGTTCTTTGAATTAATGATAACAAAGCATCATTATTTTATCTAAATTTTGTACCAAATATTCAAAATTACTCAAACTTAAAAAATATATATATATTTTATATCAATAAAAACTACATAAATTTAGAATGCTGTTTTTGTTTCATTTTACTTTGCCTCGATTGTATCGAAAATCATTCATTTTAGTTAATCAATTCGAAACAGGATAACTTGAAATATATTAAAACAAAATATATAACAATTTTTACGCATGTTCTAGACATGTAAGGTTTGACATTTGGATTTAAAGATTTTCAAAATACATCAAATATTACAATTTTTTAAAATCATGTAATAAAAAAAAAAAAAAAAAGATTCGAGCAGAATTTAAAATTTTTGAAATGTCACTCCTTAGAAAATAGTATAATAAACATTTTCTGAAAATTTAAAGTGATTTGCACTTCTGCTTGACAAGATATCATTTTGATTTGGGATCGTCCATAAATTACGTAACGCGAAATTTAACTAATAGACAAAGAAAAAAGTGTTAACAGTTTTCCCTCGCAGAGTCTTTAATTAGTTCATGTAAAAAAAACCCTTCAAGTCGAGCAAAGCTGCTGCTCAAAAGAGAAAAATGTTCTCCAACTTATATTTTTAAAAAAAGCTTAGCGTTGCGAAATTTATGGACGATCCCTTATCAGACAAGGTTTCGCAAAATTCGAAAACGCAAAAAAGTGTTAAATCGCTATACGTGATATAGCGGAAATATTTTTCTTATATTTCATTATGATTTTATCAATTTGAACTTTTTAAATATTTTTTTACTGAATTAAAAAAAAAGATTGTTTAAAATATTTTTAAATTTTTTTTTTTAAGAGGAGGAATTTTAGGGTTAAAAAAACGCATTTTTTTAAATAAATTTTTTATTTGCTTACAATTAAAATCAAATCTCTGAATCGTGTAAGATAGTTAGACCTACAAAAATCTCAACCTATTGAGTTGTTCTGCAAAAAGAACATCAACTAAAAAGTGGAACTAATTTTCAGATAACCTACTGAGGCCTAAACTGTTTTCAACCGATTGTAGTTTTTTATTTTCAACCGATGACTTTTTTGTTTTCAACCGATTTACTTTTCGATCTATTTTATAGATTTTCATTTCCAACCGATTTGAGATAAATTGATTTTCGATCGATTATCTGGTCTGTGTTGTAAACGTTGTTTTTTTTGAAACTAAGAACTTTTTTTTTAATTAACAATCAAAAAGTTTTCCAAGCGATCATCGAACCTTATACCTCCCGATTCTGAAGACAGTGCTTTAACCACTGCAAAGAGGCTGATCAAATTTAGCTCGTATTCAAATCAACAACAAAATATTCAAAATACATAACCGGAATAGCGTAGTTATAAAATTGAAAATAATGTAGGTTGAATATTCAGTATTTTGAAAATTTAGTAGGTCAAAAATACAGTAGGTAAACGATTTAGTAGGTTGGAAAATACATATTTTAATTAGGTGTAAATATAAAAATCAAAAATTGCCGATTGAAAATCAAAAACGTCATAATCTACGAGTTACGAAATTTCAAAATTAGGTTGAGTTATAGGTCACCTCTGAACTGTACGTAAATATTTTCAATTTAATGATATATTAAATTAATTAAAAACCAGAAAAAGTATAAAAAGTTTCGTTTAACTGTTTGTTCTTGTTTAATTCAGTCCGCAAAGGTTAATGAAGTGAATCATGTAACTACAGAGGTAGCCAGTTTTCATTTGATAAAAATTTTATGCAACAATTATTTCAAAATACATCAAAATTATTTCAAAATAATCAATTGTTTACGAATTAATAACCTATTTTATTTTTTAGTAGGAGTACGTCAATATACTATATGCAAAGCAGTCAAGAAAGTGCATTCTGGTGGCACTGATGTTGCTGCTATGCACATGTAGCTTTGGGTAACATTTGGTTTTATCTCACCAAAACTCTAAGAGGTTTTTATTGACAGTCAATGGTGATACCGAAAAATAAGATGGTAGTTCGTCCACATATTCAAATATTTCATCGGCTACACACATAGAATTCGTCAAGCCAGGCTATCCTGCTATTGGTAACATGTAATCTTGTGCAACTTTCTTCTTTCTGTCCTGCAGCCTTGTGGGATGCGCTTTTTTAAGCAATATGCCAACTCTGACTTAAAATACTTCCTGTCTTGGAGCTCGAGGTTGATTAAAGGCTAGAGATGGTGTCCTTATAAAAATACTCATCTTGGCCAGGCATTAAATGCATTTGGCTACACTCTTGTAGAAAGTCTTAAGGGGTAAACAGATTCTATTTTTTAACAAGTTTTGCCCCTTCTTCATCTATTAGGCTTGCGCAGATGTATTTATAATACATTGTTTCCAGTTTAGGATGTTGAATGCTGGATCTTCTTGACTCAATGTCAGAGGATCCATCATTCAACGTCCTAAACTGGAAAAACATAAAAAAAATTTTAAGTTACTTTTTTTAATTTACATTAACGATCTCCCAGAAATCAGAAATTCTCACATTTGGCATTGTTTGCTGATAATACTACCATTTATTCTTGTCTTGATAAGAAGCTAACACTCTCTTATTGCTTGGAGGGGGGGGGGGGGGCATTTGAGCTCAGTGGCTGGTGAAATTTAATTCAGATAAAACTCAATTTTTTCAGCTATCCGTTATCACAATAATCTAAATCTTTCTATAATTATGAACATTAATGCACCTGACATCATCTAGTAGTCATCTATCTTTGGTATTCTAGAATTAACTCTTACTTCCAAATTTTCTTGGAAACCATATAATAAAATTGATTTGTATATAAACCAACTTTCAGCCATTGTCAGATTGGCTTCTCTTTCTCTTTTCTATAAATGCTATAATGGGCGCTGCTCTAGCGTCTCTTGTGCCATCTACTAAAATTCATTCTTATTTTACTCGTCATTCAATTAAGTCTCATCCCTTTTGTGGGACTGTTCTCAAGTGCTCTAAAAATTCTTTGGGATTCGCTCTCTTTATTATGTTTTCCTAATTCATACACTTTGCAATCTTTAAAGTTGACTATTAATAGTTATATCTTGCTTTTTTAATTTTATTTATAAACTTCATCTTTTTTCTTCCAGTAACTTCCAACTCTAATAGTTATTTCTCGTTGGAGGTATAAAAAAAACGACAATAGCTTCCATTTCAGCTATAATGGCGGAATATATTTCATTTCAAATAGATTCTTCAAAATTTCAAAAGTTTATAACGTTTATCTAATACAGATGGTCTATATCCATTTACTACACCGTTTCCATTTAGGTGATGTTTTGTTTTTTTCTGAAGCAAATTTCATTTCTGCAACTTTTATCTGCTGTGCATTCGTCTGATTTTGCTGCTCGAAAATTTTTTATAAAAATAAACAACAGTGGATAGAATAATGACCTTGAAGAATATTTCTGACCAGATGAAGTAGTTTTACCTGCTTAAATGGTTTCAGAATCAGCATAATATCTTGCGCAAGCAACCAGTTTTTATTAGCCATTTGTAGAGTTTTTTTGTTTTGTTTTTTGTTTTATTTTTTTTTATGTAAAATTTTGGTCCGACACACGGCCCCAATCACCCAACGTAGCTTCACATATCGTACTAATTTTTCCAATGTGGAATTCCATTGAGTAGATGAATCTATGATGATTTTCAATAATTTTCTTCATCACAAAGTTTTAGTACATTTTGTTTTTTCAGAATCTTTGGAAAACGGACCAAACTCCAATTGCTAACTGTAGCATGTGAGCGAACCACCGCTAATCTGACCATTTACCAAGAAACTCCTTTCAATGTTTTGATTACTTGTCCTCATATCAGTTGTAAACTGCATCTTCCCTAATTTCAGTTTCAGGTTGATCGTATCTTTATTTATCAGTATTGTGGTAGTTGAATAAGCTTTAGAAACATAGTCTGGATATGTGTTTTTCAACAGACTAAGGAATCAAACATCTTTAGTTAAACTTATTGGGTGTACATCAAAAGAGATAAAATCTGCTATTTTCTGATCCATCACTCTTTCAGTTCTTTTTCTTTTGTCATTTTAGGCCGCAAAGCTGTAAAAAAAGACAATATGTTTAGTGTGTTCAAACTGCGGGTCCCATCAATATCTACATCAATATCTGACGTGTTCCAGTAATATGTTGACGGGTAGTACTTTATAATCACCTTTTTCAAAAATTTTTAAAATTACTTTGCAGAGCTTATTGCAAAGCAATTTTGACTGGAAAAGGTGACAATACAAGCACTATCGTTGTTCTTATCGATTCGGTGTGCATAAGACCACACTTTTGATACTTTACCCGGTTATTTTTTCTAC